ATAAAACTCAGACGCTGCAGTGTCCTAGTCACTGCAATGATCGACTAGGCTATATTATTTCATTTGCAATTTTAAAAAATAAGGCACTTCTCATCAACTCAAATTCGAACCTTTTATGTGTAATACCGATATCTGCCAGGGGTAAAAACCTTTGACAAACATTAAGAGAGATTCGTTAAAACGTATATAGTCCAATCAGTTCTTGATCGATTTCGAGCCAATGGTTAAATTATTGTATGATGAGTTTTAATAATAATACTAATGTTTATAATAGCAACCGAAGGAGGGAAAGTTACTTTTAGAAATTTCATCTTTAAGTTAAAATACAAGACATACCTCAGGCGCGGATCAAGAGGGGTAGGGGGAGGTCTAGCTCAGTCCAACTCCCCCAGCTCTGTCCCAAATTGATTTTTTTCCCGTAGAAATTCCTTAAAAAAATCCGGAACCCCCCCCCCCCCCCTGCTGGCTCCGACACCCAATTTTTTTTCTAGTAATAATGGCTGCCTTGCACTTAGCGCTAGCTTGGTCAGGGGTATGTACATTATTCTGTGATATAGTAAATAATCGTCGGATTTGAACAGCGCCCCCATTGAAAGTATGGCACAAGCCCCCCCCCCCCCGCCGCTTTTTTTTTTTACGTGCCCGGCGAAAAAAGTGTCAACATTTCAGATTTGTTTGGCCTATGAACCCCCCCCCCCCTGCCAAAATTCCTGGATACACCCCTGTACCTCAATGAATATGTCAGTCAGGACCTTTGTCCCTATAAAACCAAGTCAGTTCTGTGTGCCGAGTTTCATTCAGTGACACCTGATCAGGACTTTCAAAACAAGTCTGTGCAAAGTAGAGATTTTGTTGTGTGTGGTCATTGCAAGAGCAAGTTTAGTTAAACTTTCGAACTGTGTTTTAGCCTGAACGTGAGACATGCTTCATTCAGTTATCATGTGGATGTGTCGACAGAAAAATTGAGTTGGAGCTGTTTTCCTCTCAGAATCAGGGCTTGTGCGGGGCGTGTATAGATTGCAGAGTGAAAGTGTACAAAAGCTCACACAACCATGTTTTTATTGAGGTCCAGTACATATCCTTAATCCGGTCTTTAAGAAACAATCACAGTGCCAGGGAATTCCCCGTGCCGCCCCCGCCCCCCCCCCACTATAAATAGACCAACGCCATTGCTAATATTTTTGCATCCATTGTAGCGGGTATGCGGCATTTCTCGGTTTGCATAAATGTCCATATGTTTTCCACACATTGTTTCCTGTTCGCGATGTATCTCGAATGGTAGTCTTGGTTCAAGCGGTGAGCTTTCAAGGGTGCAGTTAGGCTCTGAAGTCATCTGCTCAAAAAAGGCCACTGTTGACGGCTATTTCATGTGTACATGATATGTGTATAATTATGTACGTGCCGACCACTGGCTACCCAAACTGTATCAAATTAGCTGATAAGTAAGTAAAGGTCATTGATAATCTGTAGCGGGGACGGGCAAAGTCTCACAGCTGTGCGCCCTCACATGACACGTTGTAACCAGCGACAGGCAATATTCGGTTAATATGTAATAATAATATAATATGTTGTGTGTGGTCATTGCAAGAGCAAGTTTAGTTAAACTTTCGAACTGTGTTTTAGCCTGAACGTGAGACATGCTTCATTCAGTTATCATGTGGATGTGTCGACAGAAAAATTGAGTTGGAGCTGTTTTCCTCTCAGAATCAGGGCTTGTGCGGGGCGTGTATAGATTGCAGAGTGAAAGTGTACAAAAGCTCACACAACCATGTTTTTATTGAGGTCCAGTACATATCCTTAATCCGGTCTTTAAGAAACAATCACAGTGCCAGGGAATTCCCCGTGCCGCCTCCGCCCCCCCCCCCCCCACTATAAATAGACCAACGCCATCTGCTCAAAAAAGGCCACTGTTGACGGCTATTTCATGTGTACATGATATGTGTATAATTATGTACGTGCCGACCACTTGAGCAAGTGGACGTGTGTGACTCAACGGTTGGATTTAAGTCTATCCAATGAGAGTGCGAAATACCACGAGGTCACCAAGTGTAATTTCCAAATACCTCTAAACGAAGTCACCGTTCCAAATTAAATGCCATAGCGTTCATACTATTTAGAGGGCGCTATTCATTTGGCAAGTAAAACATTCAACAGAGGGCGATATTATTTCAAACAAGACAATAATTCGCGCACAATGAAAACTGTGACAAAAATACATCAAACTTATTTATAACCGATGAAGTGAATTTGTGATGGGAGAATTTCTTTCCCTCACTAAACGCGTTATTCGTGATGCCATTCCAATGCATCATCGGCTTGCTTTTTTGAATTCCTACTCGTCAATAGCGTGTCCAACTTTGAAAATGTCGGGAGGGGGGTGGGTGGGGCAGCATCCGCGCCGAAATGTAGACATGTTTTTTTTCTACGGACACTTGGCCTCCGTAAAATCTAAATAGCGGGGAGGGGGGGGGGGGTGGGGTGGGGGACACCTTCTTAATAGGGGCGCTCTTCAAAAACAGACCATTATTATGCATACTGCAAATTATATACCCATTTTCACGGCGCATTGTAATGGCTTTTGAGCTGTTTTTTTATGGGATTGACGTCTATAACCATTTATTGAAATAATTGCTGAACTAAAAAAATTGTGAAAAGAAAATCCTCCGGGGGCAGAGTGCCCCCTCTGGTCACCCCCTTCTGGATAAGCCACTGATACTCGTTTAATTTACGGTGGCAAAAAAAAATGTTTTAAGGCTAGCAATCAGAATTTTTGAATTTATGTAATCAATGACAAATAATTAAGCCATTAACTAAAAATTAAATGCTGTTGTTTTAAAAACTTGATCTTACACTGCCACTTAAAGGGTTCTTATTCTCCGTTTGTATGGTCAGTGATGATTTTTCAGAAAAGGCGTCAAACTAAAGAAGAAAAAAAAAAAAGGAATTAGATAGAATCCCAAATAAAATATGACGACCTAACACAGTCTTTGATGTCACAGAGCAAAGACCGATCAATCTGAACAATTACGATTCTCAAAAACCTCCTGACCTTTTGGACTACAAATATTTGCGAAGATTGAGAATGTTGCAATTACATTTATACAACTGTGGACAATAAATTTCGAAAACTCACTATAACGTGCCTGAAACATTGAAATATTTCTAGAAATTTTGTTTGCGCTAAAAACAGCTGATTAGTAGATAAAAAAGATTGTCAGTAATTGAACATTACGATTCCATGTTTTTGTATCATTAAGTCTTAAAGTTAATCTGAGTAGATAATGTTGATAACACATCATTTGACAATAACAATAAGTAAAAATGCATTGGGCCACTTAAAGATGCCACTGATCTACTGTCTTCAATGCGATATAAACAAACTTATACAATGAAGCTTGACGAATGTGTTCCAAATCTTTTGCATGTTTTTGTTCTGACAAAAACTCTATCAGTACCAACAGCTACATAAGGAGTAGATTTTTTATTATACATTTATATGAGTGATTGAAAATAACAGATTCGTTTGTACATACACCATTGTTAATCAAAGTAGCGAGTGTTGACCACACATTATTTCACAATACAGAACATCCACGCGTTAAGCCCGGTTCATACTTCAAGCGAATGCGAAAGCGAAGCGAATTTGATGTCAACTACAATTTGAGTGACAAAAGCAAACTGGCTACATTAAGCCCAACATTCTACAATCATCTAATATTAACAATAATTTACACACCCTATTGGGAGTAAGGTGTGTTATCATCAATATAATGTTATACAACCGACATACATATCCTAGTCATTTGATTGGTGGAACTCACATCACGTGACATTCGTTATTACTCCCATTCACGCCGGGTCTCAAAAAGTCCTATCTGTGCATGGGGAATGGGAAATACTATTGAACAGTTAGGATCATTCTTGTTTCAAGACGCGGTATGTGTTTGCAAAGGCATGGTGGTGTGCGCGTTCAGCGTTGCGTGTAGAGCGTATTGTGCCAAAGAGCCAGCGCTACAGAGTGGGGCTCAAACATTTCGTGAAAGGGTGGTTTGGAATAGAGAAATACATTTCCCATCAATTTGGTAGTGAAATAAAAGTTCAAATATATCAAATGACAATGATCTATATGTCAGTTATATAAAACAAATATTAAGTGGCTTAAAATTGTAAAATGGGAGGAATATTATCGCTCGGTAAAATCTAGACTTTTCCAGTTCACTCGGCTTCGCCTCGTGAAATGGAAAAGTCCATATTTTACCTTGCGATAATTTTCCTCCTATTCCACGCTGAGCCACTCAATATTTGTATACTATTTAGCGATACATGTTGAGTAATATAGATTGCATCTCAGATACATGTACATCGCTTAAAATCGAGACTGTTTTACCCAATAGTGATTTTGCAATGTATAAACCTAACTTTAAGTATTCAAATTAGCTATGAAATCAGACTTTGTACACGCCACTGAGTAATTACATCACATTTCTGTTGCAAATATACACACTACGAAATCAATAACAAATACATCTGAATATCAACGTAATTTCTTGAAAAACATTTTTTTCAACGAAAATACTTCTTATAAATCCATGCCGCTTGTTTAACTAAATGATCTTTCACCGAAACTGTCTCTTTTTGTATAACGTGCAGACTGTTACAATCACGACGAATGCATTAAACGTCGTGAGCTGTCTGCTCTACTGAAAACAATGTCCTCTAATCTTCCCCATATATATAAGCTAGCTTAAAAATGCGTTAGACAGTTTTTCATAGCAGTTTCTTTTCAATGTGTGTAAAATTCTTTATCAATTACTAACATATTTGCTTCTGGATAGTATGCTTGTATCGTAAGACGCATTTATATACAAAACTGAAAAGCCGTAAGAATTTATATCGTTTAATGATTCTGCTTTTTTAGGAAAAGCCTCACCACAGTACTCCTTATTTTACTCATGTTTCTACGTATAGATGTGCATAGGCTATACATTAACAGTTTTTAGGTACGTTTTTACGTGATGCTTAGTTTTCTACCATTTACATGAAAATTTATTCTAATGTACAAACAATATGTTGGTCGATGTCTTCCCGTTCACACCATGATGGATGACTATCCAACCAGGCCTTCCGGTGTGAAGTTCTCATAGATGCTGGTCGAGTTCATGTATGCTTGGATGACATCATAGCACATGGCATACTGGTGCTGGAAAATTAATATTTCAATGAAAATACAAAATGTTGAAACGCAGATTTGACTAATAGAAATAAGAACAGTAGCCAAAAGACACACCGACAACACAAGCAATAATTTCTATTTTTTTCCCCCTATTTTTAAAATGCATTCTGATGCATTTATTTAGTTAGAATTTCTTTTCACCTTGTAGTTGAGTTAAACATCTTTATGAACTTTAGTCTAGAAATAATCTGCAGTGTTTGCTTTCGGCCACTCTTTTTATGCAACTGCGAAAATAACAAGATCTACAATTTATTGTTCAATTGCATGATAAAAATAAGACAATGCTTTAAACTCATAATATTCCGAATATTAGACATTTTGGGGATCTGGTTTGGCTAAACTACTTTGTATTTAACTGGACTAAAGGGCGCCCTCCTATGGCGGCCGCCTTTATTTACTGAGCTTTCTCTCCATTCGTCTCACCAATGTGTGAACTTACCTCCGAGTACATCATGTTTGGGTCGACCATGCGCAGACGATGAGCTGCTTGGAACACATCCACGGCTTTTTCGATATTGAACTGTTCCAACAGCGCCATCAACGCGCAGTACACAGACGTAGCGCCATATCCGTCCCTGCAAAATGCATGTTTCAATAAAGTTTGATTAGCTCACTACTCTCTGAAATATGAACCCTGAAAAATTGAATTTTTTTCAAAGGAACCCCACAATATCAAATTACAGGTTTAATTTAGGAGTCTTGTAATGAAATGGATAGGCCAGACTAATTTGAAATTATGAGTAGGAAGACATTAGTCCTTTTAAAATGTATAACTGCAGATAATTGAGCCTTGAATTTAGTTTTCATTAATAATCACATGAAGTAAGCCACTGCCTTTTCTTGAAAAACATTTTGATTATAAACTCAACAATAATTTTGTTAGCAATATGAACTAATCTCTTCCACGTTTCATCTTATCTAAATCAATTGCCTTCTTATATTCTTACTTGCAATGGACCACGATAAGTCCCTTATCCTGGCGGCTGTCTTGAGTAACCCTCAGTAAGTAAAGCATTCCATCCAAGGAGCTCGGTACCTCCTTGTCAGATGGCCAGTCGTGATACTGGAACTGAGTCACCCTTCGCGTATCTTCGGTCTACAAAAAAAGCCCCATCCAAACTCTCTTAAAGACCGACTCCAACTATCTCATCCTTAATGTACGATCAGCGTAGTCTTTGCTATGTCATTTACACCGGGCCTTAGTAGTTAAGTTTAGTAGTTAAGTGTAGGCCAATCCGAGAATGCTACAGTCAGCATTTAAGGTGGCCCCCTTCAATGGTGAATGCAGTGTGCTAGCTGTTACTCAGAAAATTCCTCACTGGACACTTGCAGTAAATCTACACTGACAACGTGCTAAAATGATTAAAACGTTGATCTCTAAAGGTAAAATAAGGAATTTGACATCTAATCATACAAATAGAAAGTTGAACATTGGATCCCTACCTATACAACAAGGTATTACACATTTGGAAAAAGAGTGCAACTTTAAAAAATGGAAAGGTATCACACGTGAAAATATCAAAAGGAAATCAACGAGTCTTGTTATTTTGACTGTGCAGCTTTACCTCGAAATCAGCCTGTTCGTTACGCAGAGTAAAGGTACGTCTAGACACTCCTTTGAACTCTTCTGTTTCATTCAGCTCAATAACAAGAGGGCCGAATTTAATGTGTCCGGACTCGGGCCAGTAGCGAGCCATTGTCTGTTGGGAAAAACAAATCCACATGAAATAATGAGCAACATACACAGTAGCTTCTGCACCTAGTTTCTTTGATTAGTTTGCTATTTCATGCATGTCATCATCGTCGTTTATTCACGGAGGCATGATGACTAAATTGCTAAGCTTCCGACAGCATTTTTTTTTCAAGCGACAGAGATAAATAAAAAAAAACATTATAAAAAAATATACAGGGTGAGTAAAATTAAGCGGAACCCAAACACAAAGAAATATATCTCATATTTTAAACAATATGTAGCACCAAAATGAGTTATGACTTGGAAGCCCATTTATTAAAGTACTTTTAAGTGAGAAAATTAGTTCAATTGCTCTACACGTCAAAATTTAAAAATAAATTAAGTAACACTAAATTACATTGATGGATGACTGGTCATTATATTCATTGCATCACAATCCAACAGGAGTTGTGAACTTACATGGCACTTACAAAAGAATCACAGGGAACAAAGCAGAAAGCTGAACCCCATTCTTTACAAAGTTATATACCCATGCAAATCATAACTACATAGCAAACAGCACTGAAGCCTGTACACCCAGGACACTGTATTCGGAAAGTTTCTGATATGACAACATGTGTTCCATTTGTAGACATTATCGGGCACTCTGTTACCGAGTTCATATCTATCACGCCCATAATATGGCTCGGAATGTGGCTAGGAACAAGAGTACACCTTATGCGTTAAAGGTATTCTTTGGTATTTTAATTTTGTTTACAATGAATGTACAAAAAGGATTACTCATACCTATCCTACAAATACAAATACACTGTCCTCCAACTCCGCCTTAAAGCATGAGGTCTATTTAAAAAATGGGAAAGTAGACTCACTTTGTCCTTTGGATCCAGGGCGTTCAGCATCACAATGCTGGTCACTTTGTGGTCGTACACCATGCGCCAGAAATCGACGACGGTGCTCGGCATGGGCATCTGCGTACCGATGTATCCATTCTTCTTGCGGTAGCTCTGATTAAAAACCGACACATAATGGCACAATTCTGCGTGGTTATTTCATCTGGCACACCATGGGCAGTTATACTTCACATCAAGAAGTTAAGATGTTGCCTATAATGGGTCATTTGGGAGACATTCCCATTAGCCTTTTGCACAACATTTTCCAACTTTAATGACCCCTTACGTAACCCCAATTTTTACCTTATTTTTTTATCCTACCCCCACAAATTTCGGCATATTGATGTTTAGGACCACAAGCAATCGATCTAGCCTTTTTGCAACATTAAAATTTGCCTCTTAATAGGAGCTGTGACATAAGGGAGACATTGAAATGTCTCCTTAATGTCCGGTGTCTCCCAATTAAGGTATAATTTATGACGACAAAATGTCTGCTTGAGGTACCATTAACAGGTGTATACGTGTATGTGGGATTACACAAAATGGTGATTCATAGGCGGCATACGTATCCCGTACGCATACCATTTCTGATGGTGTCTATATTCAAATGGTTTCTAATAAAAGCTTTCGCGCAGCTTTCACAATAAGATCCTGTATGAAAGGTACTGATAATTGGTACTTACGGGCAGATAGTTTGCATTGATGTAATCGTTGTCACCTTCATGCACTTGTGTCATCAAATACGGTCTGGCTCGGTCAGCTGCAGTGTGATCAAGTGAAATATCAATTATTGCTAAGTCAGTCTAACTAACTTCTGTTTGAGGTTAATATCAATCAAAAGTGACGACAGAAATTAATATTCCAATTTAATTACACTAAACGATGTATACCTTTTATACATTTATACATGCAAGAGAGCTGTTTTATGTAGAAACGTGTCTCATTTTCACACTTCTTCGAATTTTTAAATTCCTCGTCTGTCCATGTTTCATCATTCTCAAGACAAAAATGAAAGTAACAAATCAGATTCAAAAAGGTTTGCTGTTGATGTTTAATACATTTTCTGATTACTGTTTCCTTAATTCATTATTTCTTTAGACAGCAAACTGCATCAATTAGAGAAACATAATGTTCATCAATGGCGGGGATAACCTACTGGGAATGAAGTCCTTGAACCGATTCTTAGCGATGCTCTCAGGACGAAGTCCGGACTTGGGTTTACTGCTTCCATGAGGAACACTCCATTTGCCTAACATCTAGAAAAACAAACGCAAGCCCAGGGGTAAGTGCACTTTCCCTTAAATATTTCTGTACATTTTAATTCACTGAATCTACAATGACCCAAGTGCATACACCCTTTATGTCGTTGATGCTTTCATCGATTTGATAACGCCGTTTAATGTTCATAATACTTTGGAATCAACTTCACATTTGTATAGTGATAGGTAGGTGTAAACTGCATTTTATTAGCCTACCTCAAACTGTCTAGTCATCCCAGTACTCTTGGAACCCCTCTCGGGCTTTTTCAGTGCAGACAGCTTTTGTTGAAAGTTCTGGTCATGGTAGGTCGTGTCACCAGTCTGAGATGATGCCAGCAGAGCATCAAAGATGAACTTGTATTGCTCCTAGGGATAACATGGGGGGAAATTATTACATTGAAATATAACATAAACATGACAGACAATGACAGTACAATGAAAAAAGGCACATCTCAGCAGTGTGGGGACAAAATTTGACCATAAACGTCTTTGATTCTCACTCCCTTGACAGTTTCATCAAAGACAGTTTTCTGTCCATCAATCTGACCGTCACAAAGGTAATTATATTTTAAATCTCTGATATTCCCTGTGTCATAAATCTTCAGAATAATCGTTTTGGAAGAGTTACTTTGTGTGGTCAGTAGTTCAGTGCTGTTACCTTGCTTTAAAGTCTGGCCAACTGAGGTGAAATTGGACTTACCGGTGTCTGGACCATCTTGATGCGATTTTGTCTCATTTGGTAGATGAAGCCAAGAACATCGACTTGTCCTTCTTTCGCCAATTGTTCCATCATTGCTTCCAGGGCAATGTATGTACCAGTGCGTCCCACTCCAGCACTGTACAAAGATCAAAACATTTAAATTAAACCCCCAACCTGTCTCGAAATTCGTTTCTAAGCAGTTGCTAACTTTTGACAGTTGCTACTTTGTAACGACCCACCTTTCATTTGCATGGGTTTAAACTATTGCACAAGGAATTGACAAGAGTGTCGATTTAAACAAGATGTGTGGTATTTGGTCGAGACTGTATGTCTTTTGTGATGACTTCAACATCGACTGATCTCTCGGGTCTCGTTTGTAAGTGCTACATGAACAATGTTGATGGCTTGTCCTTTTGTTTGGTACTTTGTAACTGTAACAACTGGAGGGGAGCATACCTGCAGTGTATGACAGTTTGACCGGGATTCTGGTAAGCGTTGACCACGCGCATGAAGTTGAGCAATGGTGCTGGGTACTCAGGCGGCTTCATGTCGGGCCAGGTGGTGTAGTGGAATTGCTTCACCAGTCTCGTATCCTCACTGCCAACCTGAATCCAACAGGCATCACGACAGTTAAGTATCCATACAAAAATTAAGAAAAGTGACTTAAGTGCAAAGTATCAAGATATAAGCTTGTGTGCCGTAACCGTTTGGTCATAAAGAGTTATGGGAAATTATCTTTTCTTACCGGATGAATGCTGAAATTACGAATGGTGTAATCCAGAAAAACCTCCTCTTTGTCTGTAATCACTACGATGTCCGAGATGGTGGTAGATCCGGTATCAGCCCAGTACTGCAGGCACTTCCGCTAATGGTAGAACATTATTACAAAAATTGGAAAGGCATTTCTTTGATATTCCTTCATAGATTAGCCTGGTTATATATATGGCTGGAAAGTTGACGAGAACCTAATATTTATAAACTTCGTTTATAAGATACACAGGAACACTGTATTTCAGCCAGCAGAATAGGCGTGGTATATATTTGTTTTAACATCAATCTGATTTATGAACTCAAAGACACTCATTACTTTGGCATTTTCCACCGGATTGGTGAGCATGACAATCTTATCGATGCCCAACTGCCAGACCATTCGCCAGATGTCCTTGATAGATTCCTGGTTGGGTCCTGCAAATATCGAAACACGGAGTTCAATTGTCAAAGCTTGTCTTTCATTGAACTGGGTTTTCGATGTTAAAAAGGACTTTTCATTCACTGATTGGGAAAAATGTGCCTTTAATTCGGTAAAATGAATAAATACCTAGTTTTGTTATTAGAAGGATAAACCTTACTGTACTCACCTTGACTAGCTATGTATTTTTTTTCCTGGTGGTATCCCTGCGGAGTAAACAATATCAACATAGTTATCTCTTTCTCAAAATAAAAATAATTCAGTTAGCAAACTTTGGAGGTGCACTTTAAATCAACTCACATCGATGTAGCAAGCATTGATGTAATCCGAGTGAGGATTTCCCTCCAATGGCTGGAGAACAACACGGGAGTGGTCATCTACAGGACACAGAGTGAAGAGTTTGTTGTTAACAAGAAACTCATCCACATGAAGTGATTTTGTCAAGGATGACTGTATGTTAAAGACAAAGCTAGGATTACGAAAATTTAAGTTGTAGACTCCTTAATCGTAACGTAATGTTTTGGCTACCAGATAAATGTTTTAACCCTTTAAGGAAAGTTTAGAATGTGTCTGGGGAACGCCAATATACATGTACTTACAAGCTATCACGTTCACATAGCGATTCTTCTTTCGGTTTTCTGGTTTCGAGGCAACTGTCCACGGGTGTAGCTGTTCATTCGGAAGAGTCTGGACAGAATTCATCTCAACATGGTAAGTATTTATTAACACTGATTTCTGATAGTGTTAATTATTGATATTGTACTGCACACATCCATGTGGTAATTATTTGTATTTAAGGTAGTCGTTTCAGTGTTTGTCTTCATCTGTCTGTACTTGACATTCAGCAGTTTATGAAATCAATCATGTGAACCTGCTGGGCCATAATTATGTGCGGTGTGTGCTTTGGTTCTGAATGAGAATACCTCTTTTGCATTTTTTTACAAACAAAAACATCTCAAGGGAGGCTGCAGAACTCAAAAAGTCCATACCGTTCATAATTTTTCCTACGGAGGCCTTGAAATGACATGTTTTGTAGAGGGCAGATGTCTCTAGAACATTATACTCGATATATGTCTACATATTTTTACTCATCTTAACCATTCCTCGGTGAAGGGCAAAAACCCAATATTATATGTCTTAACAACGGCATTGCCATGGTTTGATGACATTGATAACTACGTAAGTTGTATCAATCGCATGTTCAAAAATGGCAACGGTGCCACACATGTGACTAAAATTTGTTCCATTAGATCTGTTTACCTTGTAGTCAGCCTCGAACCCTTTGTCACCTGCCGATTCCTTCATGTTAATGTAGCTCTCCAAGTCTTCCAAGCGTACAGGAGGAAGCGGAGTGAATGCCACGCCAGGTTCGTCCGGGGGTTGAGCTGGTTGGGGCGGTTTGGTCTCTTGTAGTTGTGGCTTGGGCGGGGGCTTAGGCTTTCGCATGGATGGTGAGTCGCATGTCCCACTCACTGCTGCTGTCTGAAGGCGGATGTTGTTGGAGGAAGATGCCGGATGGTCTTGGGGTCCGTCTATGGGCGGGTCGCTCTGTTGCTGTCGAGGCTTGGATAGAGTATTGGGCTTTCTCAGGGATGGCGAGTCACATGTCCCAGCCACTGCTGCCGTGTGAATGCGGATGTTGTTGGAGGAAGATACCGGAGGGTCTTGGGGCCCGTCTATGGGCGGGTCGCTCTGTTGCTGTTGTGGCTTGGGTAGAAGCTTGGGCTTTCTCAGGGATGGCGAGTCACATGTCCCACCCGCTGCACCTTGGTTCATGTAAGTGTTGGTGGTCGATGGCTTAGGCTCTTCAGGGGGCACTACAGCTGAAATTAAATATCAAACATAAACGTAACTTGGTCTTATTCCCTGTAGGAAATGAGAATTTGTCCAAAAAGTGAACCTCCTTACCTTCGTAATCATTGATAGACTGCAGTTGTCCATCGGTATCCGATTGCTTTTTCGCGCGTGCAGATCGCCTCCTGAAATAAATCAGAATCATTCTAAGTAAGTGTTTTCTAAGGAAAAAACAATGCAAACCTTTTTTTTATTGTAAAAATCTTTGTGGAAAGGGGTCGTCTTATAATTGTGTATAAAGTTTTCTGTTTACATGTTTATAATTTTGTTTGCAAAGAGGTGGGGTAGGCGCAGTTGCTGCTATTTTTCGAGCAAACATTTTCATGATTTTTAAACGAAAAATCTGGGTTTTTTTTTTTGATAGAAAGGAACTACCACTTGTCTCCCGTAAAGTATGCATTACAACGGATGGATACTTTATATGTATCTGCATTCCGTTAGTGATAATTGTCAGATTTGGTGAATACTAGATTTTGTGCGTGACAAACACCGGGACAGGTAATCGTCACGTATTCTTTACCGTCTGTAAACCACGACTATGATGAGAAGCACCAAAGCGACAACGACAATGACCGCGACTACAGCTGGAACAACAGCCGAGGGTGATGGATCAACAGGAGCCTGGTATTGCCTCACTGTGAAAGTAAAAGATAAATAAATGTTAACATATTAAACATGGTTTGATGCCAGTTGTGTGGCACATTATTTTCAGCCTAGAATTTTGCTCCATTAATCGAAACAATCACACCGTTCCAAAATAACTTGTGTCTTAATTACTGTAATGAAACTTATCAATATAATATTTGAATACAAGAGTTTTATGTAAGATTTGAATGACATTCACTACACGGTATTTTCTAACAGTTTTAAGATTTGTGTGGAAGATTTTAGACATTTATTTTGTGCAGATTTTTTGATAGTTTAGTTGTGTCGCTTTAGACAATATTGCTACGAAGTCACATGCATCAAATTTCAATCGATGAATCCCCAGAATTTTCGAAAAGAAAATAGCGAATTCGAAGATTTAAGATAAAAGAAACGTACCTGTAACGTTTATCGGCACTGAATACGTCACGAAGATCTCCTACATGTGACAACAATATTTTCATTAGACTTAATTTATGTAGAGTCAGGCAAATTTAAATTCTCGTTCTTTCAATTTACTGAAGTGTAAAGAAGAAGCTACTGTAGCTTTAAAGCACCCATTTTAGTATAACCACAAGAAGGCACTCACTCGTAGATTCGACTCTGTGTTCAGTAACAGTAATACAAGTAAGTCAAGTACAAATGCAAATTCAACGCTTACCTCATCATTGCCCTTGCTTACAGACCCCACACGAATTTCATAATCAGCACCTGTTTGCAGCGGCGCATTCCTGTACGATCCGTAGGTTTCATTGTCCCCAACGACAAATTTCTCTTTCAAGTTTTGCTTGGGGATTTCGGCTGATATATAGTCACCGGCGGAGTCTTCGTAACGTTGTGGAGTGAGCGCTTCCCTCTTCGACCTGCTACCAGTCCTCTTGACATGCACAACGTATGAGCTATGGTTAAAACGGTTGTGGTTGACCATAAGTTTATTGCACGAGAAACACGGACCAGTCATGATTGAAAGAAAAAAAACCCAAACTGGTAAGGTGTGATGATAATACGCGCTTCAATAAGCTTAGCAAATTTGATTAAAATCACTGCTTAAAATGATTACGAAAGTTAACCGGGTATAACGGTGAGACATGTTAACGACAGTGCAGGTTTTACGTAATTATTTGTTAATTTGTTTGGCATTTGTGAAAATACAAAGACGATTGTGTTCACTTGCCCATTAATAATGTATATTAAAGCAATTTAATTATTTTCAGGAACATTTCTTTCAGGATTCATATTGTGATTAAAATATTGTTTGATCATGGCGTCGCCACGATTTGTTTTGCCAGGGGGGGGGGGTGGCAAAGCACATTTCCTTCCAAAATCCTTTTACTTTCTCTAGCATGTTGTAAATTTACCATTTCCCGAGGGTGGTGGGGGCAGTTGTCCACCCCACCCCCATTGACCCCCATGCGGACGCCCCTTTTGTTAAATGTGTATGAAATTAACATCATTCTGACTTTTTCATTTGTTTTTGTTTGCTTTCCCGGGCGGGGGGGGGGTGCCCCCTTGCCCCCCCCCCCCCCTTTGCGACGCCCATCGATTTGATCATCGCTTCATTAACCCTCCGATGTGCCACTTGTACTGTTTTTACACGAACGTGCGTCCGTACTATTTTTCATAGTCGCTTGTATTTCGTGTAATAACCCCAATGCTGTTCGGTTTGATGGCTTTATATGTCAACACAGTACTTTCCCATAGTGTCTGAATATATTCCGATCCCAGCATGTCGATAGTTTATTTGGCCATCGATGACTATTAATTGCTTGGGCTTTATGTATACAAAGTAATGGGAGACTTTTGGGGCAGCACTTTGTTTTGCAAAAAGCTGGGTCACCGGTTCAACCAGGGTTCAAGCGGCACTTACCATGTTATTTGGCTTGCTTTGAACTAGGAATACATGTAATATGAGATTTTTTTAACGCAGGATGAAAAAGTCATTGCTTTTTTACAGCGAAGCGACTATGAAAAATAGTACAGTGGCACATCGGAGAGTTAAACTGAGACAGTTTTTACCTACCTGACATACTCATCGTCAGAGACAATGTTTGCCAGACCAATTGTTACTGTAGAATTCGTCGCTTCCTCTTCGTATGTTTTCGGTTGTTGTGGAGCAGTTGGATCTGCAGAAAGGAAAATTTAAAACAGGAACACGCTACATCTATTGCTTGCCCATTGTTACCTGAAATCAATGAAGGAGGAACACTGAAAAGTAATGTTTGGCCATCAAAACTACGTAAACTTCCTATATACTACCATGATTCTCAATGGAAATGGTCGGAATTTTGGTTCATGATCTTTCCACTAAACCTTTAGCCTAACACTTTTATAATGGCAATCATTAAACAGGTAAAACGGCCTGAAGTCCCCGAACATTTTATGTTTTGATTTGTTTACATATCCTTTTTTAAAGGTCTGGTTGAAAGGAATCTAACCTAATGTCCCAGTTGTTTACTTCTGACGAGGTGGACATTTTGTGGCACATACATACGTATTTCAAGCAGTTTCAATTCTATGCACGCTGAACGTTTTGTGTGTCACATAATAAACACACAGTACCAATACACAAATGTGGTTCGCGCGTCTGCAGAATGCGGTGAACTGAATGCGGCAGGATTCACCACAAGCACTCAACAGCTTGATTGTCGAGTCAAACATTTCTTGCAAGAATAACACAAAACCGCTCCGTTTTGAAAGGATTGTTGTGTGGACGTTTATAATTATATCCTACTAATAAAATTCTTTCCAAATAACACCATTTCGTTTAAAACCTGTTTTGTAGCCCAGTCGAGGCTTTCCGTAATATCCCTTCAATGAAACAAATTTTCACCTGTTCTCGGCTTTGTGTAAACATCCAACATTTGGTGTTCAGTTCCTGTGAGCTTTTCATTCTTCGCCACCACCCTAAACTCGTATTTAGTACCAGGTTCCAGGTTGGTTTTTGTGAAAGGTGAATTCTGAGCCTCCCTGCCTAATTCGTATGTATCCCCTGCTGTGAAGTCCGGTTGATAAGACCTCTCCAAGATACGATAATCTACCTAGCAAAAGGAATTTCAAAGTAGAATTCAGAAAGCTGTTTGCGAAGATTGTATTCAGGGATTTTGTTTTGATTTAGGACAGCAACATATGATAGACTATTCCGACTGTTTGCATGCAATACGTAAAATAAAAATGAATATAACTGCTGCGAACTGCTTACTAACTGGATAGATCTGAATATACAAATGGAGACATAATCAAGGGCTTAACATTCCGGTAGGGCCTTTTTCTAAGGCAATATTTTCACATCCTGAGAAGCGCCTTTCAATTCCCCAGTGATTAGTAGAAACTGTTTATACTTCTGCTTTTTCAAATCTTAATTGCATACAATTTTTCAGTAGGGTGAGTGGGCATAAATACATACTACATAACCGATGATTGGTCCTCTAGGTTGCAGTGGTGGGTCCCAGACCAAAGTGATTGATGTCTCTGTCCTCTCTGTGAAGTTAAGATTCCCAACAGGTCCAGGAACTGCGGAAATAAAAAAAAAGAACTTTAGCACAAAAGAATAATACTCGGTGTTAACGTTCATTGATTCAAATACCACGTAAACAATACACATAGATCAGTAAAATAAATGATGTTTTATTTCATTATAGTTTACATGAATATAGTTTCATTTTCTTAATTTTTTTCTTCCTTTAATTGAAATCCTCCTGTGCTCAGTGAATATTATCTGATGACAGGGATATATATGATGATATTATCTGGTCACACTAGGGATTTGTGGCAGTTGCAGAACAGCATATGTAAAAACTGTCAAGAGCAGTGGAGGTTGGAGTTTTTTTGACAGTTTGTGATAGTTGTATTTATAGGAGGGAGTTTTATTTCCTTAAAAACTAATTAAAGGAGACGAAATGAATTTGAGGAAGAACAACAGAAAACATAGATTACCTGCTTCTTGCGTTCTTGATGTTACATCCGCACTGTACGGTCCAGTCCCATCATTAGTCCTTGCAGCAACTTGAAAACTGTAAGAAGTATAGGGAGTAAGTCCAGCTATTGTAACTGCTCCACCAGACAGACCAGCTGTAGTCTGACCAGTCACTGGTGCAGCGCCACTTGTACTAAGGCTATAGACGTATCCTGTGATGACGCCGCCTCGGTTTCCACACGCTGGGAGGCTCCAGGAGAAGGCTAGGCTGCTTTGGGCTTGAGATTCAGGTGTCACAGAAGTGGGAGGCCCAGTCGGTGCTGCAATATCAAATAAGTACCAGAAGGTTAGAGATATTGCATTTGGATGAAGACAACAAGTTACAACATACAAGCCAAAAGACTGAAGACCGTAAAACCTATAGTACCATACCTGATGATGCGGTTGTGACGCTTGCTGTTTTTATTGGTCCGTATGCACCATTTACATAAGCCTTGACTCGTACAGTGTACCCGGAGTTTGGCATCAGACTTGTTATAGTAGTTGTGCTTCTCTGACACATGCAGTGGCTACTATACGCTGGTGAACTGATGCTTTCACAGTTATCTCTGTTGGTCAGGGCATACTGCACGCTGTAATGATCAGCACAGGGCACTGTAGACCAGCTGACTGTCATACTAGTAGCATCGACATTTGTTTGCATTACTATGGAAATAAATGTTGAACGTGGATATTAGGTAGCTGACTGTCAAACTATTAGAGCCCACAGTTGTTGCAGTACTACGGCAAAAAATGTACGAGATTGATTATCATATATGAGTACATAAAAGTACATGTACTTGTGAAAATAATTGACCAGCCAATATGTTATTATCTTAAGTATAGGTCTATTGAGCCAGGTAGTTGCAGAAGAAGGCACGCCCATTTAAATCGTCGCATGTTTTTAGGCCAGCCACCTTTGCTGATTCGATTCCTGGGAACGATATCAAGATATCCTGCATTAGCTACCAATTAGAATCTCGATGGAAACGCGACCAAATAAAATCCATTATATGACTGCCAATCTGTATATTGCACTCACCTGCTATCGACCATTTTTCAAACGGAATAAAATATTTATTTTTGGGACCGCAAGACTTGGTTTGTTAGTGTTTGTTTTATCACCAGCATGGCAGAGATGCAAATGTTGTGTCATCTGCCATTATGTTTCCTAATGTAAAGATTATTGAGTCGTCGTCGAAAAGTTTTTCTTACCGTTTGTAATCACGTTTTCTGTCACGATTTCAATCCTGACTTCAGCCATATGAAGGCATTTCCCGGACAGTTCAACACTAACGTATCTGGCAGAGATGGCCGGGTTCGTTGTGAAAGGAATCGTTGCTCCGTCAATTGCTTGGGTACTTGTGACTGCATCTCCTATCTGTGTATTCTGGGGGCGATCTGGACTCAAACCAGCCCGTACTACAGCACCTGCCAGTCGCCAACCTGCAAAAAAGGATCATCAGTATACTGGTTCTTGTAACACTTTCTCTTTTTGATTGATAATCGGGGCTGTCTGCGATGCATTAAATTAACAAAGTTAACTGAGTGTTAATAACCGTTTTCCTGAATGTTAATTTCCAGTTGCACGCAGCTGCTGCGAAACGTCAATCGGCTGCCGGAGGCTTTGTTTTAGTGCATGCATATGATTTAATCCGACTCAAAATTAAACTTATGCATTTTATTAAAGCAAATTGCGTCTGTAAATGTGGTTGAATGTATATAATAATACACTATTGCAAAAATCCGTTCCATTTTTTCTTTTTATACATTGCATTTTTGAATATATCTTTCACTTGATTTAAACGAAACCTTTCGAAATTATATTAAGGGAATAAATGTGTGCTCGAGAGGTTTTAATCACTCTGTTTAAGACTGCTTAGAGTCTGGGTGCTGATAATTTCCCGAGCCGGAGGCGAGGGTAATAATCAGCACCCAGACTCTAAGCAGTCTTAAACAGGGTGAATAATACCGACCGAGCACATATTTATTCCCATTCATAAATACCTTTTCGGTAAAAAAAAAACCAAGGAATTCGTTCAAAATATCCCGATTTTGATCAACAAGTTCACTCCAGCTTTTTGAAACATCCCTCTAGCAAAATAATGGAGTGTTCAGCTGGCGAGTAAAGATGTAAAAAACCCTTTTATGGAGATTGACGCGCGTGTGGCACGTTCTGCGCGATGTCGCGCAGAACGCACCTGGGGCGTTGCGTTTCGAATTTAGACCTATAAAACTCGGACTCACTGGTAGTGTTGCGCATGCCTACGTGAGGATTGTATAAACGTTCAACCAATGAAACGGTAAGAGGCACTGGATTTTTTGGAGTCCACATTTTATGTGACACTGGAAAAGTGTTTAAGACCAGCTAGTCATGTCTTTATCATCTGTTTAAGACCGGCCACGTGACGGGCTCTCGACCACTAGGAATGGCTAAACTGTCTGAGGTATTTATGAATTCTATTTCATGATACATTTATGTATTTGTAAATCGTTTAAACTATATAGTTATCTTTGAAGTTTGTGTTTTATTAAATATGGGTTGGTATGACCACTTGTGCATTCAACGAATTAACATAAAACCACATGTCGAGAAAGGCTGCTGAATGCAGTCAGTGTTTAGCACTGCAAAATTACCGTTGTAGCTTTAATTAATTTCCCTTTAATAGGGAACCAACAATTAAGATTTTTTTTGCACTGATGTGATAGAGAAGAAATGCCTTTCTGACTGAAGAACACGAATGATGAATAATCAAATCTTAATTCTAGACTAATGGAGGACTCCATACTGTGAAGATTCGGCTTTTCGTATTTCTTTGCTTTAGTTTAAGGTAATATACTAACGAATGAGGTCAATCATTTTGAGGTGATATGTTTTCTCTCTTTCCCAATATCACCAGATTGCGGTTACTTGATGAAACAGCTTTCCTTATACTACACAACTGGTTCTTAAACGAATGCCTACCGAAGGGAATATTCTTCAAATCCACTGTATTGTTTGCTAATGCACCCCGATCATAGACTTACCCTGATCAATCCTGTTGACTATAGTGATGCTTGTCAAGCAGTACGCATCCTCCAGGTCAACTCTCCACCATTGGTTTCCCATGCACTCTGCCGAAAATCATAACAAAGATAGTAATAAAGTAACGCTTCCTCAAAATAAGTTGCATCTTTTATGTGAATATGGAATATTCATTACATTTATGTTTTGGCATGCATAAAATATGGATACAGGCTAGGAGGAAGGTCCTTTGCGATTATTTGAAACGATCGCAACATTTGGACAGATTTGCATGAGACAGATGATACGATTGACCTCTTCATATAGGGGCAGAAAGGCTTTAATCATGAAAAGTGTCCGCATTATTTACTGTTACACATGTGACCTTCACATGTTCTTATCATGTCTCGCTATTTGATAATAGTGAACATTTATACCGCGCCATATCTGTCAATATGACACTCCTGGCGCAAATTATGAGAAGTGTTGACAATTTCATACATATAATAGTGGCGCATAATTACTCAATATTCATTCATGCAGTAGCAAACAGGTAGGTTTTCAATTGAGTCTTAAATTGGGAATACGTCATCTGCTGCCGGAAACTAAGAGGGAGTGAGTGAGTTCCAGGAAGATGGCCCTGACACAGAGAAAGAATGATTTCCCCATGACCGTTGGGTGCGTGGAACTTGTAGGAGACCAGTGTCTGTGGAGCCAAGCTGTCGAGTAGGTTGATGATGACGGATGAGTTCCGTCATCATAATTCCGTCATAATGTATGCAATTTAAACGCGTCTTATTTCAGTCAAGGTCATGACCTTTAATGGTTTGTAACCTCGTACGGCGTGAAATAGATTGGGTGCTTGAGTTTAAAATTACACTCTGTGAAAAGGTTTTTCTATACTCAAGCATTAGTAGGCCTATAACGAAGAAATAATTAATATTATACCGAAGACATATTCTCATGACATACATTTGTAATCTACAGCGTCGTCTTAAAACAGTTGAATTATTTCAGTGGATCGGAGTCGCAATAAAATCCTACTTCGATCGATTAAAAATATTAAATATGTGGAACGATTTCAAATCGTTCCCTTCAAGGGTTTGATATACGGGCCTAATATATACGTGTATATTTTTTGAACATTTGTAAAATACATACCAGTGTGTGAACTTGTTGTGGTATCTTCATCTATTGCTCGGTCTGCACTTAGATTTATGCCGAGATCTGTAGCATAGTAAGTGGAACTCTGGGTGGCCGTCTTGTCTTGCAGATAGAGATTAACTGATAAACCTACAATCAAAATATGAAACAGACAAACAAACAGACGGAAATTGTATGTAAACAGAGATGAAAAGCATATAAATGAAGATAATTCATAAGTTTGATAATTATCTGCAGTGCGATGGTATGAGACTTTGGCATACATACGCAGCTATATTCCAGATAAAAAATTGCGTTTAAAAACGTTTGTCGAAAGACCGTGAAGTCCATACGTTTTTAGTGACACTTTCCCAGCATGTATATAATTCGCAAAAACAGAAACTTATTTAATTGAATTTTTGTTGGAAAAGCTAATCAAGACGAAAATAACAAAACAGTATTTATGTTGTCGTGTAAAAGATTTTATCAAATCACCGCTAAAACATACATTTTTATTTTTTCAATTTTATATATTGATTTCTTTGTTTTCATGCTGTTTGACTCAACGAATTGTTATAGATTAACATATTGTCAAGACCATTTGTCTCTTAGTTCTATTTTGGAAAAAAAATGCCCGAGATCCTTCTCTTACATTCAATCAAGGTGGCAATAAGTACATGGTAGGCTAACATGTACATGGACATGTATATTACCACAATATACAAACACTGGAATTTAATTTGTTCATTTCCGGGTTGTTATTTTGACATATGAAGTTGTATATTTACCTTGGTGAAGAATGGCACAAGCCCACAAAAACACCGGGAGTAGGAGACGACATTTTGGAGATGATTCCATTTTTCTTTTGTTTAAAGGAAATTTGTCTTGTTGGACGTCAATTCACTAGCCAGATCACAACTCGAAACCAAAAGTCGCCATTTTCCGCGCAGAACAGAAAGTAAACCAGTTTCCTTCACAGACGAAATACATGCGCAGTTGCAAGTAAGCCAAGCGTGTAAAGGTCACGTCCAGATTGATCTTGCGGTGGGAGATTAGATATTCATGTAGACGTGAATGCGTTATAGAAAGTACAAAGGCATCATAACAAAACCATGAATATGAAATGAGTTCAATTTTGAGTCAACCATATCAAGCGGGGCTGTGTGGCAAAGCAAACACTGGCCCACAATTCGCTTCTTTGTCTGAAAGTCGCACATATAATAGATAACCTTCGTGTCCCCTGAGTTTTTATAAGGAACAGGAACAGTGCACTGTTCAAGGAAATAAAACTCAGGCGCTGTAGTGCCCTAGTCACTGCAATGATCGACTAGGCTATATTATTACATTTGCAATTTAAAGAAATTCAGCGCTCCTCATCAACTCAAAATAGAACCTTTCATATGTGATACCGGCAGAGGTAAAAAAAAACTTTTGACAAACATTTAGAGAGATTCTTTAAAACTTATGTTGTGCAGTCAATTCTTGATCCATTTCGAGCCAATTTGTGAAATTATTGTATTATGAGTTTAAATAATTATACTAATGTTTATTATAGAAAGGTAAAGAGGAAAAAGTTTACTTTTAGAAATTTCACCTTTAAGTTAAAGTACCAGACATACATCAGAGAACATGTCAGTCAGGACCTTTCTCCCTAGAAAACCAAGTCAGTTCTGTGTGCTGAGTTACATTTCGGCGACACCTGATCAGGACTTGCAAAAGAAGTCTGTGCAAAGTGGAGATTTAGTTGTGTGTGGTCATTGAAAGAACGGGTTTACTTAAACTTTCCAACAGTGAGATTTAACCCGTACATGCGACATGCTTCATTCAGTTATCTTGGGGATATGTCGACAGAAAAAAAAAATCGGGTCTTGCACGGGGTGGGTATTTACGAAAGCCCGTTAGTGCCATCGAATGTATAAATTGCTCTTTTGCAAGTATATGTTTGGTGAATCTTGTTTTTCGGATGTATATGTTTGTGGAATCTTGTTTTTCGGATGTATATGTTTAGCAAATCTTGTTTTTTGGATGTATATGTTTAGCAAGTCTTGTTTTTTGGATGTATATGTTTGGCGAATCTTGTTTTTTGCAAGTATATGTTTCCCGAGTCTTATTTTTTGCAAGTATATGTTTCCCGAGTCTTGTTTTTTGCAAGTATATGTTTCCCAAGTCTTGTTTTTTGCAAGTATATATTTCCCGAGTCTTGTTTTTTGCAAGTATATGTTTCCCGAGTCTTGTTTTTTGCAAGTATATGTTTCCCGAGTCTTGTTTTTTGCAAGTATATGTTTCCGGAGTCTTGTTTTTTGCAAGTATGTTTCGCGAGTCTTGTTTTTGTGAAGTCTATTTTTAGTAACAGTCTTGTTTTTTTGAAGTATATGTTTCCTGAGTCTTGTTTTTGTGAAGTCTATTTTTAGTAACAGTCTTGTTTTTTGCAAGTATATGTTTCCCGAGTCTTGTTTTTTGCAAGTATATGTTTCCCAAGTCTTGTTTTTTGCAAGTATGTTTCGCGAGTCTTGTTTTTGTGAAGTCTATTTTTAGTAACAGTCTTGTTTTTTGCAAGTATATGTTTCCCGAGTCTTGTTTTTTGCAAGTATATGTTTCCCGAGTCTTGTTTTTTGCAAGTATATGTTTCCCAAGTCTTGTTTTTTGCAAGTATATGTTTCCCGAGTCTTGTTTTTTGCAAGTATGTTTCGCGAGTCTTGTTTTTGTGAAGTCTATTTTTAGTAACAGTCTTGTTTTTTTGAAGTATATGTTTCCTGAGTCTTGTTTTTGCAAGTATATGTTTCCCAAGTCTTGTTTTTTGCAAGTATATGTTTCCCGAGTCTTGTTTTTTGGAAGTATAATTATGTTTGGCGAATCTTGTTTTTTGCAAGTACATGTTTGGCAAATCTTGGTTTTGTATGCCCCGCGGCGAAGCCGAAGGGGCATACTGTTTCCGCCTTGTCCTTCCGTGTGTGTGTGGGGGTGTGTGTGTGTGGGGGGGGGGGGGTGAGTTTGTCTTACATTCCCTATGTGGACTTGTGAACAAGAGATGTCCACATAATGCAGGTTGTGTTAACGTTATGTGGACTAAGCCGTGTCCACATAAGGTTTTGCCCTTTCTGGAAAACAGGTTTAGAGGCATTTTTGGGTTAGGTTTATTTGTAGCAGAATGAAGAGAAACACTATAGGGAATCATAGAAAAAAAATTGGGTTAAAAGAGTTTTCACAGTTTAAGTAAAGTTATTTTTTGTACCGAGTTTTCTTAACTACACGAAAACAAAGGAATGTCCACACAAGGTATGTAACGTAAACCTGGGTGGGTGGGTGTGCGTGTGACTACAAATTCGTATCCTTGTGGAGACACACACACAATAGGGAACAAAACATTGTAAAGGTCTCCACAGGGCAATTTCTATAGATGAATAGGTCTCCACAAGGTTTTCACGAAATAGATATATGGGTTTTACTCAAAAACTAGGAATTTCCAAGGTGGGTTGATATGTCACAAATGGAAGAGTTTTAGAAAAGTGATATTAAGTCCAAATTTCAGCCAAGGAAACTAATTCTGGTTAAAATAAGAGCATTTTGAAACTTCACTTTCAAAATTGAACACTTTACTACACGAGAACAAAGGAATGTCTCCACAAGGATACAAATTTGAGAATGTGTGCGTGGGTGTGAGCTTGTCTTACATACGCAGTGTGGACTTCCGAACAAAAGACGTCCACATAATGTAGGTAGCACCGACGTTGTGTGGACTTGCCCACGTCCACACAGTGTTTCCCCATTTCTGGAAAACAGGTTTAGAGGCATTTTTGGGTTAGGTTTATGTGTAGCAGAATGAAAAGAAACACTAAAGGGAATCATTGAAAAAAAATTGGGTTGTAAGAGTTTTCACAGTTTGAGAAAAATGAGTTTTTCCACTGGTGTTCCTTAACTACACGAAAAGAAAGGAAAGTCCACACTACGTATGTGAAACAAGTCTGTGTGTGTGTGTGTGTGTGTGTGTGTCCGGACAAATCTTGTCAGCGCGATAACTTGAGAAATCCTTAACATATGAACTTCAAAAATCTTGTATTTATTCTGAGATCATAGGGATTAGGGATTAATTCATATAAAACCTACAGAAGACACTAATGCTGTCAATGAACGTTCCATGTGACCAAGGTACATGTAAGTTGATGTTAAAAGAGTGCTGTTATGTCATTGGAATAGTCACGGCGGGGCATTTGTGTTTGTAAACACACCTGACTTGTTTTAAGTCTGTTATAGCTGCGGTGTGCATCATGAGGGCGCTGTTGTTTGTGATGAAAGTATAGCCATGCCACCAATTAATTCGTTATTACTTCAATTTAGGCCTTAATTGCGACGAAATAATTGCATCACTTCTCGCAAACAACAATATTATCATCAGCAAACGGCATCTTAACCGGAAACTGCGAGTTTTAGGTCTTTTTCGGCGAAAAAGTCACACCGATATTGTAGACGTCGCCACCTTTATTGAAGGAGAGTTGCAAACATCCGGGCAACTGCATGGCTAGGGCCTATAGGGTGCACTGAACTAATTCAAGCGAGAATTTCTACGCCAGCTGATTAGCATAAAAAGTGCCCCCCCCCCACAATTTCTTTTGAAAACGGAGACCGTTTGGCTTTAAAAACGGTGGAATTTTTTAAATATACCCAAGGATCAACTCCCTGGTTTTAGGGCTTCCATCTGAGGGCAGGCTTGATAAAATCACGGATGAAAAAATGGGTCCTATTTGCCTGTGAAAGTGGAAGGGTGCCACTTGTAAAATGGCTACATGCAGGCTCGGGAACTATCACTTTTCGGGAGGTGATTTTATTTGGGTGTGAATATTTAAAAATGTAATTGGCTAATGTACGTAAAATTGAAAAGAAATGAAAAGATGAAAGACAAGACAATAATTTAATTTTTGTTTCAGAAACCCCAGTGATGTTGGCTTGCATGTTACTTGGCCCTGAACTTCGTTGATTTTACACTGTTTTCAATGGGGCTTGAATTAGTACAGTGGACCCCTATAGATGAATGCACTTGCGATGCGTTCAGAGTGGTATCAATATTGATAGAGAAACTATCAATATTGTCAAACTCGTTTTTTAACAAAAAGTTAGCCGAAAATCGGTTAAAACGGTCGCCATGAGTACTAGCTAGTAGGACTATTCCAAAAATAAAAATAGGGGTGGAACAATTTTGTGTGGGGAGGAGCAGATCGGGTCCCTACATATATACTTCCTAAAAACAAGACTCGCCAAACATGTACTTGCAAAAAACAAGACTCGGGAAACATATACTTGCAAAAAACAAGACTCGGGAAACATATACTTGCAAAAAACAAGACTGTTACTAAAAATAGACTTCACAAAAACAAAACTCGCGAAACATACTTGCAAAAAACAAGATTTGCCAAATTTATACTTGCAAAAAACAAGACTCGGGAAACATATACTTGCAAAAAACAAGACTCGGGAAACATATACTTGCAAAAAACAAGACTCGGGAAACATATACTTGCAAAAAACAAGACTCGGGAAACATATACTTGCAAAAAAACAAGACTCGGGAAATATATACTTGCAAAAAACAAGACTCGGAAACATATACTTGCAAAAAACAAGACTGTTACTAAAAATAGACTTCACAAAAACAAAACTCGCGAAACATACTTGCAAAAAACAAGATTTGCCAAATTTATACTTGCAAAAAAACAAGACTCGGGAAACATATACTTGCAAAAAACAAGACTCTGGAAATATATACTTGCAAAAAACAAGACTCGGGAAACATATACTTGCAAAAAACAAGACTGTTACTAAAAATAGACTTCACAAAAACAAGACTTGGGAAACATACTTGCAAAAAACAAGACTGTTACTAAAAATAGACTTCACAAAAACAAGACTCGCGAAACATACTTGCAAAAAACAAGACTCAGGAAACATATACTTGCAAAAAACAAGACTGTTACTAAAAATAGACTTCACAAAAACAAGACTCGCGAAACATACTTGCAAAAAACAAGATTTGCCAAATTTATACTTGCAAAAAACAAGACTCGGGAAACATATACTTGCAAAAAACAAGACTCGGGAAACATATACTTGCAAAAAACAAGATTCGCCAAACATATACATCCAAAAAACAAGACTTGCTAAACATATACATCCAAAAAACAAGATTCGCCAAACATATACATCCAAAAAACAAGACTTGCTAAACATATACATCCAAAAAACAAGATTTGCTAAACATATACATCCGAAAAACAAGATTCCACAAACATGTACATCCGAAAAACAAGATTCACCAAACATATACTTGCAAAAGAGCAATTTATACATTCGATGGCACTAACGGGCTTTCGTAGGTATTGATTGCAGAGTGAAAGTGTTCAAAAGCTCACACAACCATGTTTTTTTTATTAAGGTCCAGTACATATCCTCAATCCGGTCTTTAAGAAGCAATCACAGTGCCAGGGAATTCCCCGTTCCGTCCCGAACTGAGTAGGCCTACGTCATTGCTTCTATTTTCGGCATCCATTGTAGCGGGTATGCGGCATTTCTCGGTAGGCATAAATGCCCATATATTTTCTACACGTTTGTTTCCTGTTCGCGAAATAGCTCGAATGGTAGTCTTGGTTCAAGCGGTGAGCTTGCAAGGGTGCTGTTAGGCTTTGAGGTCATCGCCTTAAAAAAAGAAGAAAAAAAAACATCGTTGACCGTTATTGCTTGTGTACATGACGTGTGCACATGTACGTGCCGAAACTTGGTCACGTGCTAACCAAATTGTATCAAATTAGCTCAAAAGACAGCAAGGTCATTGACATTCTGCAGTGGGGATGAGCAAAGTCTCAAAGTTGTGGGCCCTCGCATGACGCGTTGCAACCAATTCGCACAGGCTACAGGCAATATTCGGTTGCCCCACTAACGATCAGCGCATATCATTGGCTGCCAAATCTTTTGAAAGAAAAATACATTTCACAGGGCAACTTTTCCTGCAGTACAGACATTCTCGTATACCCAGGTTTTTTTTGAGCAAGTGGAGGTGTGTGACTCTGAACCGGTGGATTTAAATATGAGAGCGCGAAGATATGAGGTCACCAAATGTAAAGTTCAAGTACCCCTAAAACAAAACACTAACTTCAATACGAGTCCAAATTACCTGCCCATAGCTTTCATAATTTTAGAGGGCGCTATTCATATGACGCGTAAAACGTTCCAACAGAGGGCGATGTTACTTCAAACAAGACAACCATTCGCGCACAATGACAACTTTGACAAAAATACATCAACCTTATTTATAACCGATAAAATGAATTTAAAATGGGAGAATTTCAACGCATTATTTGTTATGCCATTTCCATTCAGCATCGGTTTGCTTCTGAGCTTTTGTTACAGTATAAAATCCATACTCGCTAAATTGACGGAAGCAAAACTGTTTTTAGGCTGGCAATCAGAAATGTTTAATTGAAGTTATCAATGACAAATTATAGCCATGTACACAAATTGAAATGGTATTGTTTTTAAAACTTGACCGTACACGTCCACTTAAAAAGGGATTGTTATCCCCCTTTTGTATGGTAGTCATAATTTCTCAGAAAAGACGTCAAACTACAGGGGAAAAATAAAGGAATTGGATAGAATCCTAAATTCAATATAACGCCAACACAGTTTTTGATGTCACAGAGCAAAGACCGATCAATCTGAAAAATCATGGTTCTCCTAAAACTGCTGACCTTTCGGATTACAAGTATTTGCGAAGATTGAGATTGTTGAGATTACAATTAAACCGCCGTAGACAAATCTTATTTTGAATTTTGAATCTTAAATTCGAAGCATGAAGCCTTACGAATCTTTCTCAAAGAATTAACGAAATAACATTTGAAAACACTTAAAACATTCTAGATATTTTGTTTGCGCTAAATAACAGCTGATTAGCGGGTAAAAAAAAAGATGTTCGTGACTGAAAATTATGAATACACGTTTATGTATCATTTAGTCTTAATCATGTTAATCTGAGTAGATCATGTTGATAACACATCATTTGACAATTACAAAATGTATTAATTAGGACATAGAAAGATGCCACTGATCTTACGCTTCAGTACGATATAAACAAACTCATGTAATCAAGCTTGACACATTTTTCCCAAATATTTTGCATTTTTTTCTGCCAACAACTCTAAAAGCTACATGAGGAGTAGATTTTTCATTATACATTGATATGAGTGATTGAAAACCACATACACAATTGATCCTTATTATTGTCAATCTGCGTAGATAATGTCAATAACGCATTATTTTATAAAATATTCTCGCGCTACACCAAAGGTTAAATTCTTTAGGCGTCAACTATGTACAATACATCGGTATTTGATGGTAACGTCCTCGCTATACAATACAACATTAATGAATGGGACAAGGTCCCGTGTAAATTCTTTTGACTCTATTAGTACTAACAGCCATATGCAGAGTGGATTTTTTTTTATACATTTATATCAGCGATTGCAAATACATATGCATTTGTGAATACACAATTGAGCCTTATAATTGTTTATCTGAGTAAAAATGTCAATAACCAAATTTAACAATACAAAATATCCCAGTGTTACTCCAAAGGTTAAATGCTTAAGGCGTCAACTACATGTATATACAATACATCGGTATTTAATGGTAACGTCCTTGCTATACAACTTAACAATTGATTTATTGAAACAGGGTCTCATGCGAAATTCATTTGAGATTAAAACAAAAGTATGACACACATACTGCGATCTGTCACCTAATGCAAAGGCATATTATAAAGCCGTAAATAAGCTGTACATTTGATAAGAAATACAATACATTTAGTAAGCCTTGCTGTAAATTTATCAGGCTAAATTCTGAATGAATTAAGATCTGCTGAGTACAGCGACATAAGCTGCTATGTTCCACCTCACATTGTTACAAAATAAAGTCTGCATAAATGATTAAACTCGACGCTGAAAACCATCAGGAAAAATGCTGAACCACTTGAATAGATGCGATGATGATGCATTACAGCGTCAAGGTAATGACGTCATCTAGTTGTCATCAAACTCATGCTTGATGATAAAGTTCTCGTAGACAGTTGGTGACAAGTAAACCTACAAAAATCAAGACGATATTGGATTACTGAACTGTTCAAAATAATGAACGAAACAAAATGTGTTTGTTATCAAAGTAAACACAGATTATTTTAATGTACTGAGATAATAGCAAAACCAAAATACATAATTATTGTCTTTTGCATCTATCGTACATTTTGGTTAAAGAAGATTTCCAATGTATCTCATTTTTATCAGATCCGTTACCTGAAAAGTGTTCACAAAATTTGAATTTAAAGTCGGCATCACACTTACAATTTCATCTGACTGGGAGTTCATCTTCTCGAGAGCGTCGTAGAGTACCTTGAATGTTGGACGCTTGCTTGGAACTTCTTGCCAGCACTTCAACATCAGATTATAACTGAATCAATACAGATAAATAATAAAGCCAAAATAAGAGTCTAAGTGAGAGTCTAAATTAACACCTGTCACAGTTACTATAGTAGGTCTGAACGTCTTATTTCTGTGAATTCGCTGCCCACAAAAAAACTTCTGAAAATCGTCTGTTCACTTGAAATTGTTGCCTTTTTAAACATTTAATTGATATACATATCATTATCACAACAATACTTTTCGAAATGTGTATTTTCGAATACTTCAGTGAATGTTGGTGAATTGAAATCAAAATCTGTATTCATACTGCTAAATGAGAGCAGTGTTTTTTCCTTACATTTCATCAGCGCAGTTGTCCGGCTTGGGCATGCGGTATCCATCCAGCAGTCTTTGGGCCAGTGACTTGGTGACAATACCAGGGTACGGAGTGGATCCTAAAAGCAATTATCAAAAAGAAGATGCCAATCTGGAAGATGGTATCGATGTGTTAGCAAAAGTAGCAATTAAACAGCAGTAGAGAGTTCTGGTTATCAGTAGACTGTTCTGGTCATCATAGCTTAGCTATATCAAAGCTTACATACTTACCGTATGTTGCTATCTCCCACAGCAAGATGCCAAACGACCACCTAAAAGATGAACAGAGGATTCGCAAAATTAAGAACAGAAACAGTTTAGCAAGACGATAGAAACTCCTTTGGTCCATTACATCAACCACCAGTAGGACATTTGAATTCAGAAGTATAAAAGTTTCATGTTGCTTTATTCTTTGAATTTTTGGACTAATGAACGCAGGGCTAGCAGCCTACCAGTGTGTGGCAATGCATCGATACTATTTTGTGAGATACAGTGGTTCTAAAATGACTGCGTTCGAATCAAATTCTGTGACGAAAGTATGTTGCGTTTGCTTACACATCACTCTTGGACTTGTAGACACGACGCGTCAAAGATTCAATGGCCATCCAGCGAACAGGAATCCTGGTCTACAATCATAAGAGTGTTTATTTTAATCCAGTTCATGAAATGGGTTGCTATATATTATACTGGATGAATTTCACCCAAAATGTAAGATTGGTATAAAGCATCGTCTTTATCGGGTACTTGATTGTCACCAAACAACACCGTTATGAATAAGTAATTCTTTAGAATTTATATTACAACATTCACTAAACGCATTTAAAATACTTCTCTTGTATTGATCGCTCACGATTAATAAACTAAATCCTATGCGATGAATGTAAATCAAATATGCTTCTACATTTGATGAATCTGTACATTACCGAAGATTTCTGAACGTAGATGTCCTCCCCTCGGGATAGGCCGAAATCAGACACTTTGGCGGTCAGGTCTTCAGCAAGGAGGATGTTCCTTGCAGCCAAGTCACGATGGATAATCTATAAAAAGGACAAGTATTTCAATGGGGTCTACCCCAGGTTCCCCAATACCTGTGTTCCCAAATACCTATGTTCCCCTAAATACTTAGGATAAGGGTGAGGGTTAGGGTTATAGGGTAAGGAGTTCGGGGAACATCGGTATTGGGAAACATAGGTATGTACCCATTTCATTCGACCATTTGCAATTATCTAAGAATTAAGTGACCTCCAAAACATTCACTGCAAGCCTCAAGCAAACATTCACCTGTCACTACACTAGTCTTTGGAAAGGGACATTTTCCCTTGGAATCCCGACAGAGCTGTGGTATTCAAACTAACACATGCAAAAGTTGGAATAATTTAAAATGAAGGAATATACACTTTACCCCTGTCTTGGACAGATGATCCATTCCTTTGGCAACGTCTGTGCCAAATTTCAACAGGTTTGAAGAAGTCAGCGGAGATGCTAGGTCAGTTGAGTCGCCAGCTCCTTTCTGCTTCGGGCGAGTGCTCCTCAGATAATCACGAAGATTGCCGTTGGGAAGAAACTCCAGTGCCACATACAGAATGCCTTTGATAAGAAAAATAATTACAAAGGGTTTTTCTTTTGAAAAAGCCTCACTTCATGATGTGATACTGCGTAAGGTTATCAAAATTGAGATTAACAAAAGTCCAGTTGGCCAATTCACTTTGCCCTTTTACCTGAAAGTATGTCCACGTGTCTATTTCTTAACAGTTGTTATTAACGTTTAAGCTCTATCGAAGCTAGAATATCTAGGATTAGTTGTCGTTTCTCAAACAGTTTAGCTTAAATTGCAATTATTTATAAAACAATGGTTTTGAATTCGCCTTGCTTCATGATGTGATTCTACGTAGGGTAACCTTAATTCAGATTGACAAAAGCCTGGTCAGCCAATTAACTTACGCTTCTACCTGAAAGTATGGCCTCTTGTCTGGTTTCAAGCAGTTCAAATGTTTGATTGTGTGTGTTCCTAACGTTTAAGCTCCCTCGAGGTTAAAGAGTAACAAATATAGAGTAATTATTAGTTGTCTGTAATCAAAATAAAATATGTAGTTTGAACTTCAAATGGTAATATTTCCGTTGATAAGATTAGTGTTGGAGATATTTAATTTCAGTAGCTGGTTTGATTCTGACCTTGCCCAACGCCAAGTCTTGACTAGCACAAAGTAGTTACGAAATGTAAAACATTGGGTAGTCTGTTCGTATAGAAACTATGACTAGTTTACCTTCATGAAAACATGCGCCAAGGAGACGTACAATGTTAAGGTGTGGTTTGATGCCCGCCATCGTCTGCAACTCCGCCTTGAAATCCATAGCAGCATCAGAGGTGCTGTCTGTATTTAAGAAAAAAATATCAGTCCTAAAATTTCAGGACAGTATGATGTGTGTTACAGTATGATGGGAAGGACTGTAGATATTTAAAGACCAATGAAAATACAGTAAACTGCAAAAAAAAGGAAGTCAAATTGTCGATAATTGATTGATAAACAACACTATAGGCTGGCCATGATGGAATCTTAAGCCTTGATTCAGGACATTATCCGAACTTCGGTAAGTCTGTCACTCCGTCAGTGGTTGCATAACACACACAGTTTTATGCTATTGATTCAGCATGGCTATTCCTTGAAGCCTCTTCATGCATCTGTTAGGCATTATCGTCATTGCAGGGTAATTGGGTCCATAGCTCTGGTGTGATCACATGTGGCATTCAGTGAGTCACTGAGCGAGTCAAAGAGTCAGTCAGTCAGTGAGTACATCAGGAAGTAAGATAACACATGACTGGCCCTCTGGGACCAGCAATTGTGTTTATCCTTATCATGAGTACAGTTACCTTTGAGAGTTTTGATGGCTGCTTCGGTGACTCGGCCTCTGATCCTCACGCCTCCTGCCCGTACCTCGCCAAAGTTACCCTTACCCAGAATCTCATCATCGATGATCAAATTCTCCCATTTGATTTCCAGTTTCCTGGCCCAGGCGGGAAGCCCAACATCCTCGTATATCTGGCCATTAGTGTTGACAGCACTTAGTGAGTCATTTTCGTGGGTTGTAGATTTGGCAGCCTTGGGTATAAGAACAACAATGCAATGCAAATCAATATTAGGCCGAGTAAAAAAAAAAAGTTTCTCGTCCGGGTTTTTGAAAAATAGGAGGAAGAGGGGCTATTTATTTTAAATTTTTTTCAAGATGGGCACCATTTTAAAATTTCCTTCAACCGTTGGTGTTTCCACTGTTCAAAGACACTTTTAAAATGAAAGACAAGTTGGACAAGAGAACTGAACATATTTACAGTGTCCTTTAGAGTTGTATTGGTCTACCAAGAACAGTTTTAGATGCATTTGCTTTAACCGCCAAAAGTCGCGAGCGAATTCTTTAAACACATGCTCCAGCGTGAGCTAGTCTCATACCGGTTGCATTCTGGCTTTGAAGTAAGCATTTACCGCATACGGTACGGCAGACAGATTCCGGTTGAATTTTCAAACGACTGTAGTCTAAAACTATCAATAGACATACATGTACGTAGTCTGGTTCCCTAGACCTGACAATTATTCCTGACGCTCACGTCTCAGCCTCGACTCCATGGGCGCGTAGATTCATCAGGAATAGTCCGAATCTTTTGGTCTGGGAACCAAGTGGGTGAGTTGTTGTGAACTCGCCATGCTCGCACTGTCGCAGGGGTAGCGATCACACGTCGATATTATGTGGTGTACAAAGTGACCGACAGAGTCTATACTGTAAACTTCGACTCACATATTTCGCAAGTATTTATTTTCCGATGAATTTGTGGACTTTTTCAGTGTTTGTACTGCATTTTTCAAAAATAAAAAAATAATCAAACAATCCAGGCGGCCTCCAAAAAGGAAGCGGGCGGGGACGAGAAACTTTTTTTTTTTTTTTTTTACTTTGCCTTAGTTTAAGGGCTCTGCTGACAATTTGTTTACTTGAATCGTGACAATGATTGAAAGTAAGTAAAGCACCTGTTATGAAGTCAATTAGCATGAATGATCAAAACAAAAGTTAGAAGAGTATTTGGTCGGCGTTAGTTTTGCGTTAACTGTACCAATCTAGTATCAGAACCATCACATGTTCTCAATGCAATAAACTGTTCTTATGTTGTGCCTAACAGTTCATAACTAGAAAAAATCACATGAGAAACATAGTGGCAAATCGCATGTCCTTAGAAGTCACTTACCAGTTCCATAGCTGTAGGCACTAGAGAGCTATTTGAGGCATTTTGGCGAGTTCGTCTTTTCCACACCACACACCCGATGACAATCATTAGGACCAAGACGAAAACTATCGCACCAAGCACGGCAGCAGCAATGACGGCGGCACCAGCTGATGGCGTTTGCACTGAGAACAAAATGTCATACAGGGTGAGTCCAAAAGATAGTGCCGGACTGAGATCTAATCATTTCTAAAATGTGTGGCTCGCACATTTAATAAAAACAACATGCATAAGTACATGTAATTGACCAGTAACTGTGACAATTTCACGTAATTCGCATACCACATTCCCAACTTATGTCTATTTTAATACACACTGTCATTTAGATTTCCATCGCTGATCATTTACTGTTCTACGCACTGATAAATACCCTTTAAATACAATGAAATACGGACGTGTTCATATCTCCTTGAATGAACAAAAATTTGCCCAGGACAACAGACAAAACATGACATCATTATTGCAAAAAACAATCATTCCTTGTTTTCCACATTTTGATAGCACACAATCTGACGGTAGCATGCCTGTGTATAATCTCAGATTCTCACTGAGCGTATTATTAAATGGCATTTCATGGATAGCTGTAAAAATGGGTTGCTGTAAAACATACATACCTTTTTATAGCATCAGTCAATTTCAGTAACTCTTATTTTCACATGAAGGGAAGAACGTGCTCGTTTGATAAATGGATTATTAGCTTTTCAATTTAATTGCTTTTTAAAGGAAAAAAAAATCCCTTATCCAGGTGACCTTGTTTTGGCTCACATATTTCAAGTCAACTGACTTCAAGTTATGTTTCATCATATGCCATTGTTGATGCTTTTTCCAAGGTTTAAACTAAATTCATCATAAATACTTACCAATGACTGTCAATGACTCTGAATATGTCACAGTGGCATCCTGCAGAAAAAAAGTATGACTTAATGAAATAAAGAAATCTTTTTGCACAGAGCTAAACAAGAAACAAAGAAGATCACCAGTTAATACGAAATAAACTAAAGCACGAGACGAACATGTATTTGTGTGGCAAATTTTGTGAATGTAAAATTGGAAGACAAATCACCTTCCGCGAAGCATAGGCCTATTGTGGACAGAAAACAACTTCCAGCCCAGTGAAAAATGCCACCTGTTTTTTAAATAAGAAAAACTACCACAGCCTTTGCCTTTTGAAAAAAAATAGTTGTGTTGCTTGTTCGTCAAAAAAGACGTTAGCAATCATTTTGTTACACTTGGATATGCATGAGTGGACATTTCATGATTTCAATATAACTGAATTTGAATACCAGAGATCTCCTAATATGGCAGCCATGCGTAAAGTCTATACTAAAGTGTTTGTTGTCTGAAAGATAATGGTTTTATTAAGACTCACAGTTTCGTTGCCTTTGGTAACAGACCCAACACGGATGTTGTATACAGCATCTCTCTGCAGCGGTGCGTTCCTGTAGCCGCCATACATCGTAGAGTCTCCAACTACGAATTCAGCAGGAAGGCTATTCTTAGGAAATTCAGCAGCAATGTAATCGTCTACGGAGTCCTCGTAACGTCTTGGAACGAGAACATCTCTCTTGGTCACAGATAATGTTCCAGTCTTCTTTACTTCAATAACATGTGACCTAAATGTAACAATTTGAAAATATTTCATAAACAGCGCGTTTTGCAAATATTTACCATTAATAACAGCTAAAATGTAACGTCGGTTGCAAACATAAGAGACATTATTACCTTCTAATGACGTGAATACATTTATTTCAATGTACTAGACACCAAGGTAGAAATCATAATGTCTTAATCAGCATAAAACGAGCACCAAATAAATATGTTATGGCACAAATGGGTTGCTTAAAAATATTCCAAAACGCCAGTTCAAAACTCAAAGAAAAACCGAAACACCAAAGCATTCAAAGGCTTTTAAAACACATTAATATCTATTTGTCCCGGACGAGATATTTTTTATTGACATTTCGTGTAACCCTTTGTACAACGGACGTTGGAATCGTTCTTAAGTAGAATAATTACTTACTCTATGTACTTGTTAGACTTCGGAATTGCCAACTGAATTGTGACTGTCATGTCTGTGGTTGTGTCTTGAATTGAAGTGGGTTTGGGAGGAGCAGGTGGATCTATTTGAGAAAAACATATCAATTACATTGAAATGTAATCATTTACCGCTGTGCTTGTCATAGTCTTGTCCCATTTTTTTTTACTAATCAAGCTTACTGGACTTGTTATTTAATTAAAGATGGTATAGTGGTAAATCGTTCAAAGTATTTCTTTTTAATGACTACTGGACAACTTACGTTGAATCATGGAGTTATAAGGTTGAATTGAAGTCTGTTCGAATGTTGAAACAACAGATCATTATCAATAAACTGCTCAGTTATGCCAAGAAGCGGAAGTCATACCTGATTGTGGCTTTGTATACACCTGTAAGGTTCTTGGATCTCCCGTAAACATATCGTTCTTAGCCGATATCTTGAATTCATATTTTGTGCCTGGCTCAAGATCGTCTTTAACAAATCGTGCACTCGGAATGTCTTCTGTGATGTAAGTGTCCTCTGCGGTGTATTCCTGGTCGTAAGGCCTCTCTAAGATTCTGTACTCCACCTTTTATATATAAAAGAGACTTCTTTGATAAAAAAAATGTTCAGTGAAGTAAAACGTCTAAGTAAAGAGTTTATATATTTTTCAGGCAAGATTTGCTGAGAGACGTCTTAAGACACACGCCATTGATGAATCTTCCTGTATGCAGGGTACTACGATATACCTTGCCTCAAGCATTACACTCCACATGCATTAATGCATGTCTCTGCTTCCGGGTGCTATTAAATTACCAAACAAAGAGTAACCGTTGAAATAAAAACCATGTGAATTTGAAGACTTACAGTGTAACCAACGATGTATCCAACAATCGGAGGGCTCCATTCTAACGTGATGGAAGTTTCAGTTCTCTCGGTCCAGAGGAGATTCCTAATAGCCCCGGGAACTGTCGATAAGAGCAAATCACTATTAAATGTTGTCCAGATGAAATATCCAAGGTCAACAAACACAACAGTGTGCTTGAATAAGGGAATAAATGTCAGCACCCAGACTCTAAGCGGTATTAAACAGAGTGATAAATACCGACCGAGCACATAATTTTTTCATTTATAAATACCTTATCCGTAAAAAAAATCAAATAATTCTTTCAAAAAATCCCAACAGTGTGCTTGAATGACTATTGCACTGATGAATAATTCCCAAGTGGGCATAATTTCGCGAAGTCATCAATTTCCCTGATCAGTTTCACCAGCATTTGGTAACCTTAAACCGCTAAACACTATTCAATACCGAGACTGAAGCCCTTTATCAAAATGTTCCTCTTCGACATTAAAAATCCAACATCTAATTAAAAAGCTATTATATTTTAGATTGTTCTTTTTCCTCATGCATATAGGTCCAAACAGGTAAATTTCTAAACGGTGTTTAAATCCGTCATCATCGTAGTCGTCTGATCATAGACTTATCGCATACGTTTAATTCGCAATGACGGTTAGTAACTAAAACAGGTTTTAGCTGGACTATCCCTCGTGTCAACCTTGTATTTAGTACCAGGTTCCCTGGTTGTGATTGAAAAGGGTAATTTCTGAGCATGCGTGGAACGGTTTGATGTAAATACTATATAAAAGATTGTCTACGATTTTCTACCTCCGATTGCTGTCGTTGCTTGGATAGGCTCACTCCAAGGACCGGGACCAGCAGACGTCACAGCTTGCACCTGATAAAACAATGTTATAATCGTTTAGTTTTTTTTGCAGGCTCAAAGCTTCCGATAAAAATGTTTTAAAATACTTGAATTCTGAAACAGAACCAGTTATTTTTTTGTTCGCTTCAAAAGGGGTCGTAAAATTAATCCGAACATTATTATAGTTCACGTGATTTTCAATGTAATGTGTCAATACGTCGTTGAAAAAAATGATATTCTCAATTACATGCGCGGAAAAGACAATACATTTCTTCCAAGAAAATCCTAACGTATAAGGATAATCGTTTAGTTAGATTGGAAATGAATAAAGACCTGAAATTGGTATGTTGAGCTGACTTGCAGGCTCGTGACCCGATGCATCATCCACATTACATTGGTGTCAGTCAGCATGGTTCCCATGTCTCCACTCCTCCAGTAGCGAACACTGTAGTGTGTGATGCGTCCATTCGGTGGATCTGGTTCACTCCAGCTCAGACTGACAGACATGTAATCTGTCGACTGGATGCGAACATTAAGGGGAACTGTAGGCTCTGTTGAAATTGAACACCAAAACGAATATTTGATTTGTTCTTGCAACTGACATAAAAATATCGGCGCCGTGCACTAAGAAACAATTAACCGATAATGAGTGCTTTTTCGGAATTAAACTTCCGTGGTTTAAAGAAATTTCCTTTATACCTGGCGTTTTTGTCTGTTTTGTTTGAGGGATTATTTGTGTATAGAACCATAATCAACCGCAAGACAACCACATCAAAATTTGAATCAAACCCAACTGAGAAGGAGAAGATGGAGATAGGAAAATGAGTTTGAGGAAGAACAACAGAAACCATAGATTACCTGCTTCTTGTGTTGTTGATGTTACAGCCGCGCTGTACGGTCCAGTCCCATCATTAGTCCTTGCAGCAACTTGAAAACTGTAAGAAGTAGAGGGAGTAAGTCCATCTATTGTAACTGCTCCACCAGACAGACTAGCTGTAGTCTGACCAGTCATTGGTGCAACGCCACTTGTACTTAGCCTATAATCGTATCCTGTGATGACACCGCCTCGGCTTCCACACGCTGGGAGGCTCCAGGAGAAGGTTAGACTGCGTTGGGCTTGAGACCCAGGTGTCACAGAAGTGGGTGGGCCAGTCGGTGCTGTAAAATCAAATAAGTACCAGAGGGTTAGAGATATTGCATTTGGATGAAGACAATAAGTTACAACATACAAACCAAAAGACTGAAGACCGTAAAACCTATAGTGCCATACCTGATGATGCGGTTGTGACGGTTACTGTTTTTATTGGTCCGTATGCACCGTATACATGAGCCTTGACTCGCACAGTGTACCCGGAGTTTGGCATCAGACTGTATATAGTTGTCATGCTTCCCAGGCACATATTGCATGGACTGCTATAGGTTGGTGAACTGATGCTTTCACAGTTATCCTTGTTGGTCAGGGCATACTGCACGCTGTAATAATCAGCACAGGGCACTGAAGACCAGCTGACTGTCATACCAGTAGCATCGACATTTGTTTGCGTTACTATGGAAAGAAATGTTGAACATGGATATTAGGTAGCTGACTGTCAAACTATTACAACCCACAGTTGTTTGCATTATTACTACGGCAAACAAAATGTATGTGAATATTATATACAGTACAAAAAAATTAGTTGTGAAAATCATCTACCTCCCAACATACTGGCAATAATGAAAGTTCATAGGTTTCAAGCCAGGTAAAAGTTGCGTAGGAAGACACACTCGTTTAGTTCGTCGCTTATTTTATGCCAGCCCCTCTTTACTGAATCATTTCGTGAGGACGATTTCAAAATATCCTGATGGAAACGTGACCAAATACATCGCTAATAGGCCTCAAGATGGCTGCAAATCAGCACGGAAGTCACCTCTTGTCAACTTGTTTTTTTTTTTAAACAGATCAAATATTTCTATTTGTGACTGCAAGACTTGATTTGTCTGGGAAAATGTGGTCAAGGCTCCTATATCACTAACATAACAGAGATGCCGCCTGTATCATCGGTCACAATGATTGGGAATGCAACTGAGATTATTGACTCGTCTTCGACAAGGTTTATACTCTTACCGCTTGTAATGACGTCTTCTGTACCGATCCTGACTTCAGCCAGTTGAAGGCAAGTCCCTGTCTGTTCCACACTAACGTATCGAGCAGAGATGGCTTGGTTCGATGTGAAATCAATCACTGCTCCGTTAGTTGCCTGGGTACTTGTGACTTCATCTCCTATCTGTGTGTTCTGAGAGTGAGTTAAACTCAAACCAGCCCGTACTATGGCACCTCTCAGTCTGTCACCTGCAATGAAGTCACATCAATATACTACAGATTTTCCAGGCCAATTTCAGATAACAAAAACGTTTAATTTTATCAAGACGCTTTCAGATTCGTGCAGATGTTTCCATTTTGTTCATATTGGGGTTTCTTTTCTCCCCGTTTTCGTGCACACATGATTTAAGATTTGCTATTCAGGTTCGCTGTAGTCATACTATTTCTTTTATCGGCATTAGAAACTACATTTTCACCATTCTTCAATTTAATTCATTTTTCCATCCAGTGCAATCAAATTAAAAGTAATTGAAGCGCATAGAAATTTTTTCTGCGTGTGTCTTTTTTTCTTTTCGTTTAGAGTCAATATACATGAATCTCAAACTTAACCTTGGTCAAGGCGTTTGAAAAAAGTGTCCGATGATCGATGGTCGGCCGCTAAAATAAATAGTAGCACGCACTATGCTGTACAAAGTGCGAACTGCGACCTCTCACGGGTATAGGCTACAATATGCTAATCAGTTGGTGCTTAACGGACGCCTTGGAACATTCGTTCGACTAGGCTTACCTTTTTTTTTATTTTGTCGCCGGATTTCCAGCGACGACCTCGTATGCGAATAAAGGTGAGATTGTTATTCAGTACTTGGTAAAGAAGGCTCATAAGTTACATGGATAGAGAACTGGATAAAAAGTGGCTACATTCTCTAACATGTTTGGAGTCCGCAGACCAAATATAACTTAACCTCGTCCCCAGTGCTCACTTTTTTTCCCAGTGAGCCCTGGATAAGAGACTTTCTTCCTGTATCCTGATTCGATACCTCAATTTGCTAGTAATGGATTTATTTCGTTTAGTTGGTGTTGTTATTTTCAACGTGCATGACGTGTTTTCACGATCATTGCAATTATAACGTCCACGTCTTCTCAAAAATACTCATTTCCTTTTTAGTTTGCTCACATTAATATAAAATGTGATACTGCATTTTGGCGGGCCCAATTTTAACGTTTTAACTTAAGAACGAATCGTGTTTTTATAACTCACGGCGCTACGAATTGATGCTGTTTTTACCTCAGACACCACATGCGAAAACAAACGCCAATGTAATGCACAGGCAGGCACCAGACTATTCCTAACTAGCATACGTGTTCAAAAATCTTGCACATGCAAATGATCAAAAACTAGGGTGAGAGAGCAGGTAATTGTGGGCGGGTACTGCTCGACACCCTGGGGACGAGGTTAAATATAACTCGATTCACACCCAGCGAAAAAAAATAACGAAAATTGTCCTGAAAAGATAAGTCGTCGTGACGGTCGTTCCAAGGCCCCCGGTCATCTTTGATACTCTTGTCCATAAACCATTGTCTTAATTGATTTGAATAATTTCATCATTATTCTGTGTTTTTTGTGTGTCTACGCCTGTCTCTTAATTGAATCGTATGATATCATATGATGGGCAGGATTGTTTCCCTTGTGACTGTATGTACGGTGATGTTCACCCTTTTAATAGTGCGTGCAATAAACTAGTGACTCTCGTAAAGTTACAGCGGATTGATTATCTTATAAATGGATGAACAGCAAAAATTGCCCGAAACACCCATCAACATTTTAGGTTGTTTGCGCCTCAATGAATTTTGAAGAAGGGTCTCAATGAAAAGCCCAAAACCAGTGGCCTAACTGAAGTTTCTGTCTCAATTTAATACGCGTGGCATCGCCATCAGACAAACGTCGCGATTTTCTATTTTCACTTTTCCATCCGCGATGTCTTCCGAGCTGAAATTGCAGTAACTTGATGAAACAGTTTTCCTCAAAATATAAATCAGGTCTTTAAAAGAATGCCCACCCAAGACACTATTCTTAAAATTAACTATCTTGCTTGCTACTGCACACGCATTGTTAGACTTACCATTAACATTTATGTTGACTACAGCGATTCTTGTCAAGCAGTACGCAGCCTCCAGATCAACTCTCCACCATTGGTTTCCGCTGCACACTGGCGAAAATTGAATGAAAATAAGTATGACAATAAGTTGCAACCATTGTGTAGATTATTCATTAAAATATGGTTTGTCATTAGTAAGTAGATACAAAAGTATCATAGGCGGGAAAAAGGAAGAGACATTTCTGGAAGAAGGGATGAAGACAGTGCTGTAGCGTGGGGGGGGGGAGGGGGATACGTACATTTTTGTAACGAGTGCCCTTTTTTAAACAAGTGCCTTTCCTTCACGAGCGTCCTTTTTTTTAAACAAGTGCCCTTTTTGGAATGTCACGCGAACGTCGGCAATTGTGCCGCCATGAAAAGCACTACCTATTTTTCCGATAGTGCGTGATCGTATCGCTTTGAACAGAGCCCCCATAACAAGATGGTGTCCAGTTCCCCTCCCCACCCCTGGGGACCGGATGAAGCGCTCCAGTTTCTTTTTTCATGTATCTTCCCTCACCACCCAAATAAAATGACTTCGCTACATCACTGGAAAAAATACTAACCCAGCATGTCATTTGCGTTCATTTGAAACGAACTTACCATTTAGATTTGCAGAAAGATCATACAATTTACTTTTTTACTAACAGGTCAGAGATGTTTTGACCATCATGAAATGTTTCGGCATATATTGTCAGGTATGTGTACAAGGTTGAACTTCACATTGTCTGTTCATGTCTCGCTAGTTAAGCACTTCAAACGCGTCTTGATTTAAAATGACAGTTTATCGAAAATTTGATTTTTTTTCTCTCCGCTCAAACATTAGAAGGCTCCTGACGAAGAAATCATTGATATATACCTAAGATTACTTCTCAAGATGTAAGTTTTTTAATTTACTATGTTGTTTATATAGTATATTTTTTCGATCAGTTAAAAAATGTCATTTAAATATGGAACTTTCAAATCTTTCCCTAAGGGTTTTTATAAAGCCTAATAAAGTGTATATACATATTCAATTTGGAAAATATTTACACGTGTGTGAAATTGTTGAGATATCTCCGTCTAATGCTCGGTCTGCCACCAGATCAATGCCGAGAGAAGGGGCATAGTAGGTGCTACTCTGGGTGGCCGTCTTGTCTCGCAATTCCAGATCAACGGATAAACCTACAATCACAAAAACAGAAAGAAAGAAAGATGGAAATACCCGACGATAATGCGTAAGTTTTATATTTCTCAGTGTTTTGGTGGTATGAGAGGTTTGCACAACCTACACATGCAGAAACATGACAAATAAGACAATTTACGTTTTAATATGTTTCCGAAACTTTAAGTCAAACATTTTTTAATGACAAATCCCCATCGAACGTGTTTACAATATGTTAAAAAAAAAAAAACTACTAAGTAGCACTGTTTTACATTAAAAACCAAAAATGAAGCCAATAAAAAAGAAATGCAAATAGTGTATCAAAACAGTATTTCTTTAGCAGTGAAAAAAATGTTCAATTTATTAAACCACCGTTCCTTTTATTACGAGGCGAGTTTAAACACCACTGAAAAATGAAGTATAAAAGAAGGGGACGCTGAACACTAAAGGACAATAGGATCCCCAATTTCCCGAAGGCCCCCAATTTGGCGATGTGTACAAAACATATGGGAGGTCTCCCTAAAAAGTACAAACAAAAGAGGGACAATATAGGGGTTCCCCAATTGCAGGCAAATATATACATACTGGAATTTGTATACTTGTGGAGTCATTTCTTTGTTCTCGTGTACTAAAGTTTTCGAGTTATAAAGTGTTGTTTCGAAATGCCCCTATTTTAACCAGAATGAATTTCCTGGACTGAAATTCGGACTTAAGATCCCTTCTTTAAAATACTTCAATTTGCGACCCATCCACACCTTTGTATATTTACCTGTGTGAAGAATGGCACAAGCCCACAAAAACACCGGGAGTAGGAGACGACATTTTGGAGATGAACCCATCTTATCTTTTGTTTAACGGAAATATGTCTTCCGGGACGTCAATTCGCTAACCAGATCACAACTCGAAACCCAGAAGTCGCCATGTTCCGCGCAGTACAGAAAGTAAACTAGTTTCCTTCACAGACGAAATACATGCGCAGTTGCGAGTAAGCCAAGCGTGTAAAGGTCACGTGCAGATTGAACTTGCGGTGGGAGATTAGCAATTCATGTAGACGTGAATGCGTTCTATAGAAAGTACAAAGGCATAACAAAACCATGAATATGAAATGAGTTCATTTTTGAGTCGATCATATCAAACACCAGCAAACACCAGCCCTCAATTTACTTCCTTGTCTGAAAGTCGCTCATATAATAGATAACCTTCGTGTCGTCTGAGTTCTTATAAGGAACATGAACAGTGCATTGTTTAAGGAAATAAAACTCAGGCGCTGCAGTGCCCTAGTCACTGCAGTAATCGACTAGGCTATATTAATACATTTGCAATTTAAAAAAATTCAGCGCTCCTCATCAACTCAAAATTAAACCTTTCATAGGTAATACTGATATCTGCCAGGGGAAGAAAAAAAGTTTGACAAACATTTAGAGAGATTTTTTAAAGCGTATGTGGTGCAGTCAATTCTTGATCAATTTCGAGCCAATGGTGAAATTATTGTATTATAAGTTTTAATAATAATAATAATGTTTATAATAGAAATGTGAATAAGGAAACGTTTACTTTTAGAAATTTCACCCTTAAAGCTACAGTCCATCATTTGTAATTTGAGTATTTTGTTCGTTTGAAGCAACAGAAGAGTTCAAAATCTAATGAAGGATACTGAACAACTAACCTGATGAAGTTTCAGCTCAGCTTCAGCTGTATATTCCAAGAAAAAAGCATTCTAAAGATCTCAATTTCAAATCAAAAGTTACTGAATCGTGTTTTGAATTGTTTTGAATTGCAGCTATACGCGACGTCGTGCACTGATCCGACGAATTATAACAACCGCGCGCGCGTGTGCGTCGTTCCAATACTTGTGCGCGCTGCGCTGAATCAAAACGAACTACTAATTTAAATTTTCCTACGGTGCTTCTTAAGAATCACCGTTGGAAATGCCTTCTTTCGTTGATTACTTCAAAATGACAGCTTCCCAAAAAGAATAATTTCACAGGGAGTTTAGTCCCCTTACTATCTTTCAACCAAGTTTGTTTTTCAACAATAATTACGCTAGTTACTTTTCGGATGGCTGCAAATGATGGACTATAGCTTTAAGTTAAAGTACCAGACATACATCAAAGAACATGTCAGGCGGGACCTTTCTCCCTAGAAAACCGTTTAGTAAGTTCTGTGTGCTGAGTTACATTTCGGCGACACTTGGTCAGGACTTGCAAAACAAGTCTCTGCAAAGTGGAGATTTAGTTTTGTGTGGTCATTGAAAGAACGGGTTTACTTTAACTTTCCAACAGTGAGATTTAACCTGTACATGCGACATGCTTCATTCAGTTGTCATGCACTCTAAAAAAAAAGTTGCTCAATATTGGGTAAAATTTCTACCTTTTCGAGAGTAAAAAAGGGAACATGGTCATCAACTGGTGTAGTTTTTTTTACACAACAGCTTAAGTGTAAAAAAAAGTAGGCTACCCATTTCAGTGTAACCTTTACCCATAATTGTGTAACGTGTTTGCACAACAAAGTTGGGTAAGAAAGTTTACCCATGTGACGACCATGTTCCCTTTTTACTCAATTATTGGGTAAACTTTACTCAACCCTCCTTTTACCCAAGTGTTGTGTCAGTTTCTTACCCAGATATTGGGTTCTAATTTTTACCCTGCGCTGTTTGGTTCTAAATTTACCCATCACTTGGGTGATTTTAAATTAGTTGCTGTGTACCTACCCTTGCGGTTTTATTCAACTTTGAACTCTGCAATGTGAATTGCATGCTATCGCGAGGGATTTCATAAACAATAACTGAGTCCTGGGTTGGAAAGTCAATAAAATGAATAAGAAAATATTTCCCCAAATATGGTGCTGATGCATGAGGACTATTATGAGGAACGTGGGCTAAATGATGGGCAGGGGTGTTAGAATGTCCCTCAATCAACTCAAACAATTCCCCAAATGTCGGTCACTAGATCTGAGTACACTCGCTATACGGTGCATGAAACGCATGCATTGTGCATGGAATCGTGGTTGGCAGAGCCGTGATGTCCAAGTTGCAAATAATGTCTAAATAATAAGCATGTCACTTCTCCAATCTCCCCGATATTAATCCTCATACATCAGCATCGCTTTTGGAGGAAACGACACTGAAATTCATTTCACTGACTTACCTGGAACAAAGAAATCTCGTCTTCAAAACCCCCAAATTGTTGAAGGTCTCATAGGCGGCGGCCATTTTGTACATGAGTGATACGCGTGCACAATATTGGGAAAACGTTGTCACGTGCGTCAGTTTACCCCGCACCGTGGTAACATTTTACTAATGTCGTGGTAAATTCTACTCTTCGACGTGTTCAATGAAAGAATTGTTACATAGTTGTGGGGTAAATCCGGTTTCTTTAACCCCTCACTTGGGTAATAATACGACGATTTTAACTTTTTGCCTGTGCTGCTGGGACTTGTAGTCAATGTTGGTTATTATTTAACCTTGTGTGTAACACATTTGACACAAGTAGGAGGTACAAGCGAAATTTTCAATTTGCTCAATATTGATCAGTTTTACACAACATAAATTTACACTTCTGTGGGGATATGTCGACAGAAAAATCGGGTCTTGCACGGGTGGGTATTGATTGCAGAGTAAAAGTGTTCAAATCACAGTGCCAGGGAATTCCCTGTTCCGTCCCGAACTGAGTAGGCCTACGTCATTGCTTCTATTTTCGGCACCCATTGTAGCGGGTATGCGGCATTTCTCGGTATGCATAAATGCCCATATATTTTCTACAAATTTGTTTCCTGTTCGCAATGTAGCTCGAATGGTAGTCTTGGTTCAAGCGGTAAGCTTGCAAGGGTGCTGTTAGGATTCGAGGTCATCGCCTTCAAAAAAGCCACCGTTGACTGCTAGTGCTTGTGTACAGGACGTGTGCACAAAATTGTATCAAATTAGCTCAAAAGAAAGTAAAGGTCATTGACATTCTGCAGTGGCGATGAGCAAAGTCTCATAGATGTGCGCCCTCACATGACACGTTGCGAGCTACAGGCAATATTCGGTTGCCCCACGAATGATCAGCGCTTATCATTTGCCACAGAATCTTTTGAAGCAAAAGTAGATACGTGAGGGCAACTTTCAGCCACGTTCAGTACCCGTACATTCTCGTATACTCGGTATTTTGAGCAAGTGGACGTGTGTGACTCTGAACCGGTGGATTTAAATCTATCCAGAGAGAGTGCAAAAATATTATGAGGTCACCAAATGTAATTTCCAATTACTCCTAAACGAAGTCACTATAATTCAACTTCCAAATAAACTGCCCATAGCTTTCATAATATTTAGAGGACGCTATTCATTCGACACGTAAAACGTTCCAACAAAGGGCGATATTACTTCTAACAAGACAACTATTCGCGCACAATGAAAACTCTGACAAAAATACATCAAACTTATTTATAACCGATGAAGTGAATTTGTGATGGGAGAATTTCTTTCCCTCACTAAACGCTTTATTCGTGATGCCATTCCAATGCATCATCGGCTTGATTTTTTAAAGAATAAAATATCCATACTCGTCAATAGCGTATCCAGCTTTGGATGTCGGGAGGGGGGTGGGGGCAACCGCACATCTGCGCCAAAATGTAGACATGTTTTTTTTCTCCGGACACTTGGCCTGCGTAAAATAAAACAAAAAAGCTGGGGGAGGGGGGGGGCTGGTACATCTTCTAAGTGGGGCGCTCTTCAAAAGCAGACCATTTTTATGCATACTGCAAATTATATACCCATTTTCACGGCGCATTGTAATAATGGTTTTTGAGCTGGTTTTATTTTTTTTGAATTGACGTCTATAACCATTTATTGAAATAATTGCTGAACTAAACAAATTGTGAAAACAATCCTGGGGGAGGCAGAGTGCGCCCTCTTGCCCCCCCCCCCCTTCTGGATACGCCACTGATCCTCGTTAAACTGACGGTGGCAAAAGGCTAGCATTCAGAATTTGTGTATTTATGTTAATTAAGCAATGTACTAAAAAATAAATGCTGTTGTTTTAAAAACTCGATCTTACACTGCCACTTAAAGGGGCTCTTATCTTCCGTTTGTATGGTCAGTCATGATTTTTTTAGAAAATGCGTCAAACTGAAGAAGAAAAAATAAAGGAATTACTATAGATAGAATCCTAAACAAATATAACGACATAACACAGTCTTTAATGTCACAGAGCAAAGACCGATCAATCTGAACAATTACGATTCTCAAAAACCTTCTGACCTTTTGGACTACAAATATTTGCGAAGATTGAGAATGTTGAAATTACATTTATACAACTGCTATTAAACGTGCGTGAAGCCTTGCGAATCTTTTTTTTGAAAAAAAAGAGAAAAATTTGAAAACATTGAAACATTTCTAGAAATTTTGTTTAATAACAGCTGATTAGTAGATAAAAAAGATTGTCAGTAATTGAACATTACGATTTCATTGTTTTATCATCTAGTCTTAATGTTAATCTGATTAGATAATGTTGATGACACATCATTTGACAATAATAAATAGTATAACTGCATTGGGCCACACAAAGATGCCACTGATCTACTGTCTTCAATACAATATAAACAAACTTATAAACAATGAAGCTTGAAGAATGTGTCCCAAATATTTTGCAGGTTTTTGTCCTAACAAAAACTCTATCAGTACCAACAGCTACATCAGGAGTAGATTATTCAGTATTCATTCATATTGAAAATAACAAAATGGTTTGTACATACACCATTGTTAATCAAAGTAGATAATGTTGATATCACTTTATTTTATAATACAAAATATTCCCGCGTTACACAAAAAGTTGAATAGTTCAGGCGTCAACTACACAGAGTA